ATAGGTATAGCAATTTGTAGAACTTCAAGCGTATGTTACTTTAAGGTTTCCATAGCTTTAGGTTAAAGTGTTAACACCTTGACGGTCATGTACTCGTGACTTCCTTTTATTCTTTATACCAATATTTCTTTCTGTATTGTGTATTAATTATAATTTGAAAACAGGACTCCCCCTGGTTATCGCGTGCAATTTCTCAAATCATTCACTGTTCTACTTAACAATGCATTCTACTTTCGTCGAATTGCAGTAGTTCCGGAATGAGGTAAGCATTTCTTCTCCACTAACGGGGATAAAAATTGACAGATTATGCTTACGGACTGACACTGGCATTAGCGAGACCTAGAGGATTCAGATCATCGCGTGATAAAAGAAAACACAACGTCATCGTCGATCGATCAACTCGAATTCATCTAGAGAAAGAAATCGCCATTCTAAAAGAAACGAAGACTTTCATAGTTAAACTAACGAAGAACTGAAAGTTTAATCCCATTCATCGAATATTGATTGTCTGTTGGCGTTAAAATCGCTTCTCTCGTTTTCAGGCTAATTCCATTGCAAACAATTTAATTCCAAAGCAATTAACCCTCCCGCGAAGGGTCATTCCAATTTTTCCTTTTTCCACACTCCAGAAAAAAATGACCCGAATTGCCGGAAGAATATTAGCTTCCTTCTTTCTCCTCGTCGTAAATTCGAATGACCCCACTCAGTGCAATCATAGATATACGTGTTTTCGCAATTGCTAAGTGCATTAAAGGGTGTGCAAACAGAAAAAGAAGGGTTAGAGGGAAACGAATGAACAAACAGAAACACGATGAAAGCTTATTGCCAGTTGAACAACCCCTGCTCGAGAAACAATCTCATTATTCATTGTCACCCTTTCGTGATGTAACTTCGTTGAAATTGAAACAAACACCAGCTTTTTCTAACTTTTTACGAATTACGAGACTTTCGTATATTGAAAATAGAATAAAATTTAAATTGTTACCACCTAAATGTCCATCATTTAAGGATTGAATACAGTATTCTAATTTGCAATTACCAAATTCTACTGAAAATCGGAATCAGAAGCAATTTAAAATCGCATGGTTAAGCTAGCCATACGATTGAAGCATAGCTGAAGTTGCTGGAGGCGATGGTGGTAATGCTTCCGGTGGTGTGGTGGTGGTGGTTGTAGTGGTGGTGGAAAGCGCTTCGACTGGTCGTTCTGGGAGGGTTGCATAATACAGCGAGCATCGAGCTGCCAGGGCGTTGACTTTGCAAGGCATTACGTTTCTTACGCTTTGCTTCTCCCCCATTGCTAATATCGCGCCCGTTGCTCCTCTTTTGCTTCGAACCCTCCGGATTACTCGGCCGACCCTGCCTTTTCCCGCCGATTATTATTACGCTGGAGATTTACAAAATAAAGTTGGAAATTGGAAAAATTGTGCTAATGTCCGTTCGTTAATCAAGACAGGGTAATTCGAGGGGAAATTGTAAGGAACGTTATTTGCTCTTTCTCGATGAACAGAGGGTAGAATGAAGAATGGTAAATTGTCTTCTCTGGTCAAATGGAATTTTCCGCGTAATTGAAGAATACGGGACAACCTTAAGAATTTCAACTATACTATCACGAATATAGGGATATAAAGTACAACCAAGCACATGGTCGAAGCATCAACCGTGACAGCAGCTGTCACACACCGCTGCAACCATAACCACCACCATGCAACATTCACTAACATTTTTTCTGAACGCGTTTTCGCAGGTGTCTGCTTCCCTGCACCCTTGTACAACTACCCGATGCGACCGAGCTCCATCTCTCCCCTTCAAGCTGGTGCTCGTTTAATTAATAGCGACAGAGATAAGGTTCAAGGGCATTTCGCGTGAATCACTGGCTAATTGGGATCTGGTAATACCCTAGCGTCGATAAGCACTGTCACGTATCTATTGGGGTGGAAAATAATTCTTCGGGGTGCAGATGGGTCATTAATTGAATGAACCTTCGGTGGTGCAACGACGGCACACGATGCTAAGGATTTATGGATCCTCTAGGATTCTTATTTCGGGAAAAATTATTTAACGAAACAGTATAAATTAGCGTGTAATTAATTAAAAAATTCTAATATTTTCTACCAATACGATGTGCGTTCGCATTTCGAGGTCACATGAACCTACGAAACGAGCGTCGAATTTGGGTCGCTGTCTTTTGTACGGGCAGAAAGGGTTGCCCTTTATTATTTTGAAACCAGTTCAGAGGGAACCCGAGCAAAGCGACAATGGAAGAATCGTATCCCTTTCGAATAGAATGAAAACCGCGGTGACAGGTACGATAATGCCTCTTTCAGAGAAAGTGCTCACCCTTCTACGGCACGGCAAAAGTTACGCGCTTTTATTCTACCGATTGAAATCTTATAGCGATGGTATTTCAATTGTCAGGGGAAAAGGGGGGAGTTGATTGTTTAAGCTATCGCAATAAAAGTAATTCAGTTCTCCCTGTGTATCTTATATTATTTGCATATCCTAATTCCCTTACGATCTATCTCAAATACTACAATGATCTTATTCAGATAAATTTCGCGAATGTTAGTATTTGCAATTAAGTCTTATTCACACTTACAATCTCCTATCTAATCTTACTCATTATTGCTTGCTATATCACGCTAGTCTAGCGATTCAGTGGCGCCCATTTTTGCACGAAATGGAGGCACGAACGGGAAAGAGTACAACGATCATACTGTAAATGCACGAGACCATTACAATAAAACAGCCCCATTGGTTGGTCTGGCGCCTAGCCCCGCACAAAGGAAACCCTTCAGCTTTGTCGCTGCGACTCGAAGAACAAGGAACATTCGTTGTTTACCGCGAACGTCTAATTTGCATAATGAGCACGATAACACTTTGAATAATTTATTATGAAAATGTTGAAAATCGTTGAGAAATTTTCTAATAAAAATTGCTCGAAGTATAAATAAACTAGTTCGTTTTCATTTACTCCCTATCAAGATTTCGTAATCGAAATTACAGCAGGACTCGCCCTTCGATAAATGCAAAGCTCTAAGAAGAACCGAGAATTTTCTATGAGAACCAGACCATTCGACGCTCGTAATTCATTCTCACCGAGGGGTGAGTCAGAGATTATCAGTGTTCCCCTGTCTCGCAAGACACAGGCCAATCTCTCGATTTTACTTGATCGTAAATTAGATCTTCTCTTCGATTCTGGATGTCGGTATATTTGACAAAATTTCCGAACAATTTTTTCCAAAAATAACGCATACCGCCTAAAGCCTTGGCTCCTTGGCTTGGAAGTAAGTGAGAAAATAAAAGATAAATACACGAGCCAAAATGCAACATTTAGTGCAACGCGTTCCAACGAGAAATTCTAATTAAACCGATGATAATAATTAATTATACCCTATTTATTTTCTCGCCCGTCGGACACGGTTCCAAGTGTAGACAGCCGATATAGTTTAAAAGATATTTAAACGTTTCTAAATGCTCTTTATTTACCGTAGGGTAACAGCTGCTTTCAAGTAAAAGCACGTTTGTCAGCGAATATCTAAATTTAAGAAGTGACACCGCCATCGGTTCCTTGTAAATCGTGGAAAAACGTGTTGTTACCAACGGGCAAGAACGAAGAGGAGGAAGAAGAAGGGAAGGTTGAACGCGAGACAAGATACACAACGATTAGGATAGAAATAGATGAATAGACGAATAGAAGACAGACAGAGGGACAGCAGGAGGAATAAGTAGAGGGGGTTCAGCAGAGGGAGGTGTGGTATGCGAAAAAATACGTTGTTGGCACTTGGCTTCGGCAGACGACGAGATAAATAGCGCGCGTGGGTGCGGCTCGCCGATGTCTACGGGCCACACGCCACGTTTCCACCGGAACCAGTCAGCCACGGATCCCTCTGGCAAACCAGAGGGAGAAAAACATCGTGGTGGGAGACAAGGTGATTCCACACAGAATCTACTATTTTACTTCGAATTCTCTCAACTCCTATTTCCTACGAATCTTATCAAATAAAATCAGTTCTATTATTACCCCCCCCCCCCCCCCCCCCCCCCCCTCGAAACGCCCTGTACAGAAAATTTCAATTAAGTAAAAATATTGAAATATAATTTATGATGCTGGATGAAATAATTCAGAGAAAAAAAGAAAAAGATGTCGAGGCTGAAAATGTTAAATTGTAACAGGACCCAGCGATCTTATTAATCGACGGTGAGGGAAAAAGTGGAAGACGATTCGGGGATGATAGTCACGAACGATTCGGGGCTGGAGTGCTAGGTGTGCATTCAGCGTTTTTTAGGTCGACGTTTTTTTTTTTTTCTCTCTTTTTTCTTCGAAGAACAGTAAAGTGGCGAGCATTGACAGTAACCATATGACGCATTGCGTCAAAATCCAGTGTCGAGGAAACTGTTGCGCGAGATTCACTCTGCTCGACGGTTTTAACGCCTTCGATCGATCCGCGAGAACGAGTTAATCGAGCGATTAAAATAAAAACAAGATGTACTTAGAATAATTTCTCGAAAATATTTCTGTTCTAAAAGGCTAGCGGAAAGTTGGAGTGGTAAAAGCAGGATCTTAGTAACACGCGTACCGTGTATAAACGCTCGAGTTAAACACGCTGCGCGAATAATTCTCTTATTTCCCCGGCGGCCAGATTACCCTGTTTACCTTTCGCGTTTCTCGCGGGCCGACAGCGTGTCTCGCGTTTCTGCAAACGCCAAAACTACGAGACAAATTGAGCTATCTAAACCGATCCCGTAATCCTTACCATTCCCATCGAACAGACATGTGTTTCATCGAACGCGTGGAATGTTTCCTTTAATCTTTCCTTTGGAAATTCTGAGCCTTTACTTTAAATCAACTCGGTAAAATGGTACCGCGTTGGGCTCGGAAATATACGTTTGCATAATTAAGAGATAACTCATCGTACATTGAAGGAGAAATGAATAAAATCGCAGAACGGTACTCGTTTGACAAAGCAATCAAGGGTGAATGATAAAAGGTAAAAACTCACCGGGAGAAACAGCAATTGCAAGGAAGGCTGCGAGAGCGGCAAGCAGGAATATCCTAATCGCATTTCCGCCTGTTCGTCTTCTGGCTGGCCTTTGACCCGCGTGACAGGAGGCGGCGGCGCAACCTGGCCTTGGCTGAACATCGAGTACCACGTAAGCCGGTTCTTCCCGCTGGAACAGCAGTTCCTGATCGGCGTCGACGTCCTTCGGGACGCCGGACGTCGTAGTAGCAGCGCGTCGTCGTGGTGATCGCGGCTGCTGAAGGTCGCTGGGACTGCAGCTACTGCCGGTACGGTCGATTACCGAACCGTAATACATGGCCTGCAGGGGCGACCACTGCCGTGCCACCGGGGGCTGCGCTCGTCAGCGAATCCTCACCGCCCCGCCTTGCGCAGGCGGGACTGTACCTTCGAAAGCACCTGCGGCGTCCACCACGACGACACAGAGCAACGAAGGACAGCCGCTGCAGCAAGGCATCACCACGACCCGGCTAAGAATCTAAGTCGTTACCACCAGAACACTCAGCACCAACCACCAACGACCAATTCTTCCCTCTTTCAGACGATCTATCTTCTCACCTCCAATCGTCGATTGGAGGTACGGTTGCATTCGATCTTGTTCGTACGGGACACTGTTCCGTTCGTTCGTGATAAAACGGTTCGAATAACGACGGTGTAACATCAAGTTTAAAGAATAGTTATGCAGCGAGGTGGTCCGCGTCGATTCCTCGCCTATGCACCGGGATCGTTTAATCACGCGCGATCTTTCAAAGTACCGTCAAGATTTAGCTACGCGGACGGCGTACTCTCAGAGCGACGGGTTACTCTAGAAACAACCGCTTGTTTCCGATATTTTCCTTCTCTCCCCTTTGCTTCATCTTTCCGTCGCGGCGAAAATGCACCAAGGACGACGACAACATACGACGGAGTTTGTTTTCGCCGCGTGTGCGTTGGTGGAAACCGCGAGTAGAACTCGCCGACAGACAGCAGACACCGATACGTATCCTCTCACCCCGACGGGCAACTCGACTTTGAAGAGGAACCACCGCGTGCGCTTACGGCACTCCTACGCCGCCTCGTCGGAGGGAAGAAACCCTTTAAACGAATAGCGTACACGCTATATTACCGGCGACGCGTCGCGTCGCGTCGCTACGTGTACGAGTGTGTGTTCCCCGTGCGTGTCAGGGGGACCAGGGGTTCGTCGCACTCCTTTTTTTTTCTTTTCTTCCTCTCCTCTCTTTTAACCCCTTTTTGTTTTCTACCCGGTCCTCACGAATCGCTCCCGTTTGATCGAAGAAAGCGACGACACGTCCGGTTCTCTCGTCTCTCACTACCGCTCTCACCACCGTGTGTCACACCTTCTTCTTTCTTCTCCTTCTCTTTCTTGCCCGACTGCTCGTACCTCTTTTAATCTTTATGCTCGATGAACAACGGCAGCAGCAGCGGCGACCGGCTGCAACTCGTCGTGTGTCCAGCGCGCCTGGACACTACCACCGTCCGGTAGGAAGTGTCGACTGCCACGAGGTGGACAGCTCTGCGAACCTCTGCCAACGGTAGCAGCACCAGCGACGACGACGGCGGCGTCGACGGCGGCGGTGACGGCGGTGACGGCGGTGGCGGTGGCAGTAGCAGCACCGACGGTGCTGGTATCAGTGGCGGTAGTAGAAGCACTGGCAGCTGCAGCTGGTGGTGCACCGGCGCATCCGCCTGCACCTCGCATTCGTGCTTGCACCTAATCTCAACGTACAAAATATTCTCCCCCAACAAAAATAGTGTCCTTTCCGTCTCCTTTATCCCCCTTTTCGTTCTCGTCCCCGGGTAACAACTCTGTACACGACTCTAACGCCTGTCTGTTTACTAAGGGGATCGAATTGAACCGGTTGGATCCGTCCTCGTGGACTCTTCGACGTGTACTGACTCCCCAAGCTCGGACCGGGTCTCCGCTTAACGCGTGTCGCGTTCGTTGGTGGATGCGTGCGTACACGCCGGCGTGTTGGTCAGCCAGTGAAGAGCGGCTCTGTTACGTACGACGAGGTGCTCGCTCGTCGCGCGACTGCTAGCGACCGGTGTTGTTCGGCTAGCTTCGGTGTCAAGCTCGCAACACTCTTCGCACACGCACGATTCGCGCGCAGCCTGTTATCGCTTGGCTAGTCCTATTTACGCTCGTTGTCGCTCTTTCAAAAGAGAGGACGAGTTGAAAAGCGGCTTTGCCTACAGCTAGACAACCTCTAGGATCGTTTGCTTTCGAGGAACGGTCTATCGTCGTTCTGCCAGCAGCAGCAGCGCCGCGACGTGCTTCGGCAGAACGTCGGGGACGCCCCTCGATACCCCACCGATGCCATCGGCCTGGCCCGAAATCGATGCCCCGCAACGCGACGTCTCGAAACCACCCCCTTTGCCCGACCTGTGCCATCAACGAACCAACGCTATACTCCCCTCTCTATCTTTCCTTCTTTCGTTACCACCCTCTCCCTCTTTCTTCCTATTCCGACCATCCCCTTCTGTCTATACATCCCTCTCTCTCTTATCTATCTCTGTCCTCGTTGCTCGTGTTTTACCCTATAGTAGGCTGGCCGTTCCTACGCGTCCCACCGGGGCGAGTTTTCTTCGTGGATGAACGGATACGTATTCTCTTTTTACAGTCCGCTGCATGAATGGTGTCCCGTGAACGGTGGTATCGTATGACACGGATCGATCGCGGTAACTAATAGCCTCCATCGATTAAGAAACTTATACTTAAATTGGCGTTTGTAAAATACCCAACTTCCATCTCGATGACAATTTTTCAATTATTCCTACCATCTGCATTAAATTGATGAGATGTGCAATTCCCCTTTACCACGAACGAGTTGGCCAATATATAATAGTTGGATGGGACCGCGTTACAAAAGGTTATTGCTGCGGCGCATCCGTAATTCGTAAAGTTGAACCGCGACCCATAAAGACTCACCCGCAGTTTTTGCTGCTTTCATCCCGGTTGGCACGCGATGCAAAAATCCTTTTATATCGAAATGGTCTGCGACGAATTTTCGGCTCCATACAAAATGGCTCCTCCCGGTGCACCTGCAAATAAACAAATGAATTAGCAAAAATATTCGTAAAATCGTCGATCTTAAACTACCCTCCCTCCTGTAATCGTGTCCCTATGCCCCGAAAACAGTGGCCGAAAAAAAAGGGACGATTACATAACGAATAAGAGGGATCAAAAGGTGGAGCAGCGCAAAGAATTGAATAGTTCACGGGCGGTACGCTCTTTCTATGGCCAATATCGCGTAACATCTCGGAAACGGTTCCAGTCAGCCGTAAAAGCTTAGGGTACCGATAAAACGTGCGGTCGCCAGCTTCACGGGAACACACGTCCTTCGAAATTTCGTGGAAAGCAGGACACGCCGCGCGTTCCATCCTCAGTCGCCTTGGAGATACTCCTAGCAGTCAGAGAGAGAGAGAAGGAAGAGAGAGGAAGAGAGAGAGAGAGAGAAAGAGGAGTCAATAGACTCTACGTTGCGGCAGATGTACGTATCGATTTTGGAACGTTGATTCGCGCGTGTTCCAGAACGATACCGTTGCCCTCAACGCGGGCACGTAGAGATGCTGGCGGTGGCAAGACGCTTCTTCAGATCGGACATTGCTTTTTCAGGTTCACTGTGGACGTGTCGCCGTTGGCAGCAGGCATACGGGACGAGCCAGGGGGTTTCGAGCACCTGGAGGCCACTGGGTGGCCGGCATTACCCTCGCCAGGTGGTTGCAACTTGTTGTTGCGAGCCCCCGCGAGCCGATCCTCTTGCGTACTTTTTTTATTTTTCTCTACGACTGTATCTATGATGTAACATTCAATAAATCTTGCACTGTTTTCGATATCCGTCTTGTTCAATTAATCGATACCTCTTAAATGAATCATCTGAAATTCAAGATTTCTAAGATTCTTGATAGAGATGCTTATTTCGTACACCATTGGGTCGCTAGCTAGAACTTTGCCCTCGATTCCACTGGACTCGCGTATAAATCCTATCATTCGGTCGATCAATAAGATCACCTTCGTGGAGCCTACGAATTTCGATTCGAATAGGGTTCAAATTAGACGAGTTTCTCCGAAGTGAAAATTTACCATATCCATGAGAAAAAGTCGACCAATTTGCTGCGTAGGGTGTTACAGAAGCAAAACGCAATACCAGGAAGCGAGGACTAACGGTGAATGGTAAAAGGACAATCGTTCGAAAGCAGAACGAATCCGTCGGGGGATGGTATTGCATTATGCTTCACGGCCCGAAGGGAAATAGCAGAGTGGGCGATTCGCGCATTCGAAGGAAGAAAGTTCGTGGAAAGACACACGCAGCTGCGTTCATGGATCATTTACGATGCCCGTTACCCTTGGCGAGTTGATACGTCCTTCGGACACGACCCCATTGTTCACGGCTGAAAAGGAATACGTGGACGATCTTCCACAAAATAAAGGAACCTCCGTGTGGTCACCCTACGCCTGGCACGCGCCACGATCTACCTTTCTTTCCCTTTTTTTTTTTTTTTTATTCCGTACGACCAGCCGTCGCCTTTCAGATCCGCAGGATAAGGAATCCTGTCTCTCCCTATGCAGCTAGGAAAACTTTTCAGAATGTTACAGTTAGTTACGAACCGTTATTTCGAAGTCTTTGATATTCGATACAATTAAATCGCGAAAATGAAATATCTAGACTGTTATAATTTCAAATAACAAAAAGTTGATTAAAAAATTACACGAATACAGGAAGAAAGAAGAATTCTTTTAACGAATAAGTAAATAAACCAGGAACAAAGCGAGAGGAGAAAAAGAAACAATGCGTGTATTATTCTATGATGCACCCTACTGGTTAAACATATCGCTATTTCACCGGGGGGTGTTTTCTGAAGCTACCCTTGAGGATTTAAAGAAGCTGGGATAAATGGCACCCGGGGTTGCGCCGATTGCGCTACACGGATCACAATTCGAACGTCGATGATTATGGCCACAAAGAAAGCTTTCTACAGTAGCAGATGAAAAAACTGTACCGATCGGTTGTCATAATTAATAAGAAAATCTACCGTATATCAGTTTCCAGAATCTTAATGTTTAATTGAAAAGGGAATCAATTGCATGGGGGGATTCATTAATAGAAAATGTTTAACAGTGAAAGGGTTAAATGAAAGAAAGATACGAAAGGGTTGTAAGTTGGGGGCTGACCGATACAAGTGGGACATTCAAGAAAGGGGTTAGGTCCCATACGATGACAACGGCAAAACTCGAAACGACGTCGTCGGACTTGGCTTCCGGCCATTTCCCAGCTATCGATCCACGAAGCGTTACGACGAAGCTGCCCTACGTGCAATTATAGGTGTATCGTGTGTATAATACGACCCTGATACGTGCATAGCCAGAAGGGGTAGGTAAATCGTCGTCGGCGCACAAGGACGATCCCCAAAATTTGGCCGCGAAACTGGGATCGCGAAATTCTCCGATGGCCATTCGCGGAACGCGCTATTAAGGGCAACTGGGTTTATCGTTTAATGGATAATATCAAGAAAAATTTTGAAAATGGGTCGGACTTTAGTTTTCCGCATTAACTCTCATGCATGATTCAAATTTAAATTGTCCCAAAATAGAAATGAAATATTTAATGTCGCTCCACTAAGATAACGACAATTTAAACTATTCATTTTTATTTTTCAAACTTTCATTATTTCTTCGAAAGATTCCAAATTGCGCATACTTCAGACTCAACGAGTTTCTCAAATTACTTAAATGAACATTTGCATAGAAATAGAGATGATATTATTAATACCTGTCTCGAAGAATTCATTTGTGATTCTACAAACGCTGCGACCAAAGAATTCTGGTTCCAGTGAAAATTTCTTCTAATATATTTCGGTGAAGTGGCGTGTAAGATACGGTCCACCCATCCTACGAATGTAACACACAAGGTGCGTTTCCACGTATGCGTGGAATCGATAACTGCGAATTAGTCTGACAGGCTGTCTGCCAGAACCATGTACACATGCATCTAAACGAAAAACCGTACCAATCGTATTAAAGTAATTATATCTCTAGTTTAATCAAATTAGACATTCGTATAAACTTACTTAGATAGAAAATTGTTGACTCATTACTTTCCAATTCTTCTGAATCTCTTTTAACTGTATTTTCTTCAATACGATGCTGTTATAATTGAATAACCTCATCGATAATATCGTTATTTCCGTTACTAAATCTTGACTAAACTGTTAGCCCCCACCCCTCCAATGTACATGTATCGATACTGTACTGTATCGATTTGTATTGATCTCTCTTCAATTATCTCTTACATTAAAAAATTAAAGATAAAATTAAATATACAAATATTCCTGAAGTCAATATTTAAATACAATACATTTTTTAGAAATATAAACACGTATAAATATAATCTTTTATTTACACATATTTTATTACTATACACTTTGACTTTTTAATTCAAATAAACAGAGTGTCAATTTTTCACTTATAAATCAATAAATTTTTCCAATATAAATATTTATTATTATAATTATTAATAAAAACTGTTAAGTACGTTTAATAAATTTAAACAACCAACCGTTTTTATTCGATACTATAGATCGAATCGATTCACCACCAATGGCGCTGAAAGCAGTACGACGAAACCGCGCCTTTTTACGCGAACGTTCCAAGTTTGAGATTCGAAATTGTTAAATTTTCCGCGTTTCGGTACTGGAAGAATCGTGTTCTCTTACACACAAGTTGATATTAATATCTGAACAAGTACTGAATAAGACTGCAGTGTACTTTTCTACGAAGAACGTGTATTCACAACTCGAAATAACAAGAAAGAAACCATCCGACCTCCACGCCACGCTACCGCCATTCCATGCTCTTCTCATCGTAATGAAAAATTATACAAAGGCACTTCGGAAACAAACTGGTAAGTAGTTCTTAACACACAATATGTATATAGCAACAGTTTTTTTGAATAGTTCTTGTCAAACGTTTTAATTACATACAAACTTCTAATCGACAATCGTCGTTAATATAGTACAAAGCAAACTTTAAAATTACGTTTAAAAGTACAAATTCAAATACAAAATATAAAACTTACCACTATATCTTCTCCATTATCAATTATACTGTGCTGTACAGAATAAATTTCTTGAGTCTGGTATAAAATTGAAGTATGAAAGTTTACGTTAGTTTAATAACAAAAATGGTAATGTTGATCCAACAGTGGCAAATGTGTGACTGTTTAATATATTGTAGCACCACATTAAGCAAACTGTTTTCATAAATCGCAATATGAATATAAATTGTTCAATATATCACAATATGAAAAGAATTTTCTTTTAACCGGCCTATAAATATTTGTGGTTTGTTATTAAAATACATAGAATTACAAATAATTTCTTTTTGGAAATCCACTGTCTTAGTTTTCTTTCTTCCACTGTGTAACTTTCTATAGTAATATGATTTCAATAACAATCTATTCACCATGGAAATATTACAATTTCTTAAAATATGATGTAGTTTAAATTATATTTCAATTAAAGAAATCAGCTACCTCTGCTAACTCCCTTGCCCTTGCTTGCTGGTGGGCCCAACGTGCCTCTGCAAGTTTATCAGTTAGTCCCCATTTTTCATGATAAATACGTTGTTTACAAGTTGGACACTTTTTACCACCTATAAACAAAAACAATCTTTTATTATAAATTGAAATATAAATTGAATATATCGAAAATGTTACCATGGAATGGTGGAGTCTTCATATATGTCACAAGACATTGCAAATGAAATAAGTGTCCACAATATAGTCTTTCTATATGCATATCTGCATTTTCATTGGTTTCTGCATTTTCTGGGTTTGGTGGTAAACACATTTGCCTACATGATTGACAATGTTCTTGTGGCAAGGTCTTTACAGACCTAGATGAAGTAAATTAGATTTAGACTATAAAATCAATTATACATGATGAATACCAGTAATTTCACATACTTTACAAGAAAAGAAGTTACAGTATTTAGAGATGGTGATGGGGTGAAAGGAGCTTGAGATTTCTTTTTAAGGGGTGGTTCTACGCATTGTCTAGCTAACTCCTTTCCTTGTGCCAGAAAGTAGCGTCTAAAAAGTGGTGGAAAGTTTGTATTTGCATCTTCCAATCTAAACAGGAAAGGGTCATAGTATGAAAACAGTTTTCTTAGTTTAGCCTTCATCTATACATACTTCACACAAGCTGTTGGATAATTGTCCGGTACTTCAATCTTAGCTTTGAAATAATATAATCCTCGCTGGACTTTTAGGCCAATACAAGAATATTTCTGTTTCAATTTTAATTCATCCTCATTCTCCAAAGTCTTTTTTATGGTAGAAATTTCATCGTAACAACAAATTAAGGGATTTTCATCTATGAAATTACGAACAAATTTCAGTATTTGTAGTACCTATAAGGATAACTTTTATATAGTAAAATCATATAAAAAAGAAAAATGTTTATACTTGAAAGATCAAAGTAATTCTCACCTGAGCTTTGCCTAGAAATTTCTTGCACTCCTTTTCACAAACTTCAGCCAGACCATCAAGTAACTTTACAGAGAGTGTCTTGCTTTTTAATTCAATTAATAGTGGTGTACGAGGATAGTCTTCTGAGAATTGAATACACACAATAATTGTCTTAAATTTTGTTTTTCTGTAAAGTATACAATTAATATGAGTAAACAATAAATTGAATACAATCAATGCTCAATGAATAGAATCTTAATGAACAAACTTACGTTATTTCCACTCGCACCATTGTACGCACACAAGAGACGAGACGGCTACCTTCGACAACATTATGACAAAGTTTTGACACTTCTTGTAATTCATCATCGATAAAGCCCATGAGAAAACACAAATCAATTTTATCTTCTAATATAACAGCTACGATTATGTTAGAAAATCGAACCGAATTGATTAGAAAAATGGTACGGGAGCACTATCGCGTCCAGTTTCGCTCCTGTAAATTAGAATTATGTCATGCAATCACGATCAAGGTCAGTCAAAGAACCTAAACTCGTCTTACTCATCCCTGTTTTGAATCAACTACCTGTCAGTACTGTACCTTTAAGTATTTAAATAACACAGTGTAGTACAAATCAGCGGAATAAGAAAAAAAATAACTTTAATTCATAATCAACGTTACTTTCTAATTTTCTTTTAAATACGATGCATCAAAGAGCTACGGAAATAATTTTTATGCGATAACCGCATCCAATCATCGCGTTGCGTAAAGTAGGAATGCAACAACTGTTTGCTCGTTTATTTAACAAGCAACGGATTACATAATGTTTTATACATTATTGCCATATAATTACTTGTTGTTTATTTACCGTACTTATCTTCATAAGATCAAAACGATAATTCTATTATCTTTAGATTCAATTGGTCAATGTGTTCAATATGGGATAGTACGGAGAGGTCGCTCTAGCCTTACCATACTCTATGCTCGGTATCTAACCTAGTTTGACGCACATGTTTACGGGAAATTCAAACGTGCTCCCCGAGGAATCTTTCGTTAGTTCAAGAAATCATGTAAAAGACTATAGCGACAGTAGTTTTTCCGTTACGGTAAGCTGAAAACATAACAGAATGTCACGAATCGCCAACACAAGGGAAGTGATATTGACGAGCGACAGCACAGGTGAGCATTGGAGTGCCGCCTTGTGGGATCCGCGAACTGGTTCACTTTTATCGACCTACAAGCATGCCGGAGCCCTGACGCATCATACTCTGCAGCTTTTAAGCGACAGTTACGTGATCGGCGCTGATTTAACGAAGCCTCGCATCCACGTTTGGCCTTTGAACAGCCACAGCCCGGTACCTAACCTCCGACTAACGACGCCAGGAAAGGTGACCGCCCTGTGCTCCACGCCGAATGGCGCTTACATTGTCGCAGCGATATCAGAGAAGCTGTTTTTATGGCAAGTGTGCAACGGACGCTTGCTAGGGAATTTATCGCAGCACTATCAGACAGTGAGCTGCTTATCGTTCAGCAAAGACGGCTCGATTTTCGCCAGTGGCGCTGAAGATGGTTTAGTGTTCGTCTGGTCGTTGTACCGGGTGCTGAACGATGAACGACCCACCGCGTTGCACGCCTTCTCGCATCACTCTTTACCGGTGAAGGATCTACAATTTGGGCACGCAGGTTCTCGAGCAAGATTATGCTCGGTGTCCTTGGATCGCACATGCAACGTCTACGATCCTGGCAGCGGATTACTACTCCTCACCCTAGTCTTCAACGTGCCACTCACTTCCGTTTGCCTGAACACAAAGGAAAGCGATCTATTCGTCGGCTGTACAGATGGAAGCATATACAGATTCAATCTGCACGAACCACCCCGAGGAATAGAGCATCACGTGCAAATTCGAAAGGACGATGACGCAGGACAGGCGGTGATTTTTCAGGGGCACAAATCGAGCGTAGTCACCCTCTCTGTATCGATCGATTGCCGATACTTGCTGTCCGGTTCGACCAGCGGGGAAGTTCATCTCTGGGATATCGCTAGCCATCAGATCCTTCGAACGATCGATCACAAAGGACCGATCACCGCCGCCTTCTTCGCGAAACACTACGAGAACTTCCGGGTGACGGATCTTAAGCCCCGTTTGCAAGTTTCCAATCTGCAGCGTGTCGCTGACGAGGCGGGAAAGGAGAGTCTAATCGAGGTGGTATCGCGAGATCAAAATCATGGGGAATTATTGGATTTCGAGTCGTACGTTGAGAACAGAGGCGATTCGAGGGGATCGGAGGATCGATCCTCTCGGAAGATTCTCGAGATGAGGGAGGAGATCGATAGACTGAAAGAAATTAACGCCGCCATTTATCAGTACAGCGTGAAACGGATCTTGAACAAAACGAACGGTACCAGTTCGTGAAAAGCTTGGATTACGTTCTACTTTATGGATAAGATTATCTCGAACCTACATTATTGAATTGTATCAACATTTTGTATGATAATTGATTATAATAAAGAGTACCTGTTGTTACGCTACATTTCTTTACCCCTTTTGATGTTTAATATTTCCCTGAACATATCATATTGCGTCTTTTACGGCTAAATAATTCACGGCCATTTCATCGAAGCATCCGGGGATCGCGATACGGAACATTGGAAAATGGGGGATGCCGCGATTTCATTTTACATTAAATTCGAATGGAAATCATAAAGATGCGCGCGAATGTTTGCGTAACACGTTCCAATAACTAAAGTATGCAGTTTTTACGATACGATAATATTAAAAAGTAAACGAGAAATCAACTTTCAATAATTCGCTTTTAGAATTAAAATTTCAACCCCGTATTTTTTGAACGATACGAGTTTCATCAATCTGTCATTTCTTAGTTAATTATTGCAAGTGCAAACGAGGAGAGCGAACTGTTATGGCCGAAGTTATTTTTTCTCTTTCAAAATTCAGAGGAAATTTGTAAAAACATACATAAAATAACTCACAGGATGAAAAAAGTAAATCGAAACACACGAATACATAAAACGGGGATTTTCTCTTTTCCCAGCTTTATAAGCTACCGCAAATATTCCAGCTTTTAACATCGCTCGTATTAATTATACAAATGTGATGTTAAATGAATTTGAATATAAATGAAAAATTTTAAGATAACTGTTAAACGCGGCTTCATTTTTGTTCGTTCGTCGATTCTTTATGGTACAACATTTTCTGATGAAATAATCCGATAAACCTGAATTTCAATTTCAATTTTTATTATAATTTCTCTTCCTTGTATTTTGTTACATTCCTCTTGTTATTGCCTAGTCTTTGTTCCTGAAAATCTTATTTTGGTCCACTAATTCGAAAAGCCGCAAGCCTGTAAACAGTCACAATTTAATTACCCACAAATTCACAAGTTGTCAGTTCGATAACACATTAAATCCTCTCCTCCGCAGACCCAGAAATGCCCCATAATCCATAACATAGTTGTAATAATAAGGCTTAATTGTTAATCCGTCATTAGTCATTTCCATAATCTTGCATCGCGCGAGAGATCACGAGATTCTCTCATATTTTTCATTATGGCGGCTCCACCATAAACAGCGTTTTACCGTGGACGTAATTACGCTTGGAAAAACGGTACAACCGTGGAGCGACGTGATTTTAGCGACTGATCAATTCTGTCTGTTCTCTCGGCTGTACTCTCTGGCGGTTCGTGAACGCTGGGTCAAAATTACTTCGATCCAGGTGATAACTTTTAACGGGGAATTGTTAATTTCCCCGCGAAATGGTCCGCTACGTTACACGCCGAGATTATTTCAGTCGAATACGATGTTGTAAATTGAATCGAGAAGTCTTTTTCGTTTTCCAATTGGTTTGTTCTTTTTTATAGTGCTGCGTATGAAACTGAGTTTTGTTATCGTTATCGATTGCAAAATGAAAAAAAGAATCTTCCATTTTATTATTGCAAACGAATATTTTGATTAGTACTATGAAAATACTCAGAATTTCATGTTCCACGTATTTCATTAAGAAGAATCGAATTTACTATTCGTCATAAATTTGTTCCGTTTCGCTACCGTGAGTTGCGTGAATCCTTTTATAGGATCCTTTGCCAACAATAACGAAACTCTTTCATTATTCGTTGCACAATGACCGGCAAGCATCGACGCAGTTTCACAAAAGAAAAAGGAGAAGAAAGTTTAAACGAAAGGCAGTCTCGCTGCCACGGGAATGAGAGAGGAAAAACAAGCAGCATGCCCGATTTCATCGCGTTCGCCAAATGAAAACTGCCTGTATTTCATCGGCACGTATCCGAGGAACTCGTCGATAACGTTTTGCGGGTCTTCGCGTGGAATCGAAGAAAACTTATTTCGAATGTCGATATTAATGAGAACGAGTCAATGGGAGGGGTTAATATCACTTCGGAAGCTTTGTAAACGTGTTCACTGCTGAAGAGACACTCTCGGTCTGGTTCCAGCCTCCTTGCCCAACATGAAAATTTTTCTTTCCTCCTTCATTCTTTAATTATCCGATTGAATTAAACCGTGCACCGGTGAACCCCATGGTAGCCGACGCGTTAAACGCTAAATATGGACGTAGCCCATCCTGCTGTCTGCTTTGTATTCAAACGAGACGTAGCCGTGTGTAGGCGTGTGAGCAGATGCAAACGAGCATCCGACGAAATTAAATTAGGGCTAACGTAGCTACCTTAAGATAGAAAAGTTTGCATGGGAATGGCTGGCCACGGTTAGCGAACGAATCGATTCCAACGCGACCTCGATGAATCCAACCTCCGTGCCTCTATCCTCTTTGTTTCCTCGTGCTACGAGATCGATCGTCCGATTTTTCTATTCTTATTATGCTTGAGAAAGCCAGGGATATCTAAGGAGGCTGATAAAGAATCGTCTAGGTATCGGGCAAAACTATGTAACCGAGTTCGAATCGATACCATTTTTACCCTCGATTCTACTCCGCGAAGGTGTCTTCGCGAATCTATGGTATGCGAAATGAGAATGGCAACGATATCGTCTTTATACTCGTCAGGATAAAATATTTCATTGTTCAAAGAGATTAAAGTATCCTCGTATGTTCCGCACAGCAGGAGCACGGGATATATCACGATCGGTTGAGTAATGCACCATAATCTGCGCCATTATGATCATATCACGCATTTATAAATCTTTATGCGATCCTATGCATACACCAGAGCTGTGCTACGCGTGCTAATGTGTATTTGGATTATAGCAAATAATCGTTACAATTATTTGCCTCTAAATAGATCGTGTCATCGTTCACATCATTCCAGTGCTATTGTCCAGACCATCGACGTTAATTAACAAAAGAATTTAGTTTTACTTTGGAATTAAATCTGGATTATTAATGTAAACAGAGTCTTTGGAGAAGAATTTTTTCAGATTTTTTTAAAAGCTTAAAATTAAGTTCTCTTACGGAGAGTTAAATAAACTTTGAAAGTTAATTTTTCGTCTGTGAAAATATGAAATAGTGAAAAATATGTTTGCCTACAGTGGGTTAAATTAATTTTAGAAATTTTTTGTCCATACGAGCAACATGACGAATTCGCTACGTTCGAGTTATTTTTACATGAAAAGAAAGTTATTCCAAATATTTGCCCGAATTTTGCGATTAGCCCTCCGTGTTTTCTAGACCGTATTTTTACAGCGAAAAGATCCAAACTCCTTTCACTAAAAGAATGAAATCGAATCGCCAAGCAACTTATCAAGTTCCTAACTTGAAATTTTTCAACCTTCCTATTTCACACTGCCAAGAGTTTCCTTCACGATTAAATTTACTGTTCGACTTAAAATAGTTGGTAAATAGGGTTTCTATTGCGTGAACAGTTAACGAAAGGCAGACTTTTTCTTTACGCTGCCTCAGAAATAATTGTATCGGAACTTTTTAACGGTTTGCAAACGGCCAGAACTGCTGGCCGTAGTATTGTTTCCGACTGTTACACGCATTTCCCAGGGGAGTTTTCCGGGAATTAAGAATCACGTTTCCCGGTTGAAACGGGCTGTTTGATAGTTCGTTGGACGCTGGTAACGAAATTGTTAGCCTAGAATTCGATTTTACGCTCTTTGATTTCTAAAGGATATTCGTTGAATACTGGTTAGATTTCTACCATCGGTCACCCGTTCGATCAAGTTAGATCCTTTTAAACAAATTTTCAAGAGTATATCGAAAGAAAACAAATTTTAATAGGTCGATTCACAGTTTCCTGAAACAACACTTTTTGCGTAAACGTGAAAATTATTACGATTTGATTACATTCGGAAATAAAAACTCGTTCGCGTTACGCATGTATGTCACATCAGAGAGTTATAACAATTTTAACACGGTTGTATCCTTTTATGGAGATGTAGCCACAAGAGTTTTAACCGTGTAATCGTTGGCAATTTTGATTAAAGCGATTTTAACTTTAATTCAATTCTCCATTTTTCTCTTTCCATCCACGCTCTCGTATAATCTGCCAGAATTTTATTATCCGCCTATTTTTTTTTCGGCAACAATGTTATCGCGAATATTGAATGAAATTTCAACCCAAAAATCAATTCCACTTTATCTTGTAATTTCTGGTTGGAAATGAAAAACTCGCCCCTTTCGTTTTGTATCGTTGGATTAAATACAAGTGTGGTAAAACGGTTTCTGTTAATTACAGAATACGATTCACTGGATGTACATCGAACAGTATTAATCGTAATTATTTCACAGTACATTTACACATACCTTTGGTATTTAAACTTTATATATGTAGTCTGATCATTTCATAATTTGAAACAAATAGAAATTTATGAATTAGCTCTTATTTAATTTTCTAACAAGCAAATATTTGTAAAGGGTGTAACCATATTCAACAAGAAAGTATTACCTCGAGAATATTTCTTTTCAAAATATTTTCGTATTTGCTTCCACCCGGAGATCTAAAAAATGATTAAAAATGTTAATACCATTCCCTGAATCAAATGATTTACCTCGTCGCCTGGAAAACTAACGAAATCCGTTTCAGTTTTTTTTTTTTTTCTCGTCCTTAATGAGGAACAGGGTCTATGGTCTAAAGTTCAATCACCAACGAACGAACGTTCAAATAATGGTGACGGTGGTTGGTAGTGGAACGACACAGGGTGGTAGAATGCAAAACGAGGGGGGTTGAAGGTTCCGTGGGATCGGGGTGGTAAACCCCCGTTGGCTGGTCGTGGCGCAAGGTATAAAATCAGACGGCAACTACCTGGAGGTATTCAGTGTCGACGAGATCTTCTGCTCTGCCACGTCGCTTCATCGAATTTCGATCTGAAAGACCCGGGTATCGGTGCTGTAGCAATGAGAAATCACCTATTTGTAGTACTGATCGTTCTAATATTTTCTACTTCTCTCAACCGTAAGTGTACAAATCGATCGATCGATCCGACCGACCTCATTTTTTCCCCTTTTTTTTTTTATCAATTTCGTCTACCCTTATCGCAACAAGACTTTTTCCTATTTTTCATCGTTACGCGCTGATGAACTTGGTTGTCCAACCAGATGCTTTCACGTTTTTCTTCGTCTTCTCGATGGTTTCTCTTGATTGATCAATTATTCTATGCTGGAACTTTCGTCGTTTACTTCGTGATCGGTGTTACAGGGCTGAAAGAAAGGATATCGTTGATTAATGCCTCCGTTCGTATTATTTTTGTCGAGTTAATTCGCGTGCCTTCGTGGCTGATAAAAAGCTAAAGTTATGGGGAATCGAGCAGAAAGGAATATTCTTAATTAGTATCCATTGCTGCCTTTTCTCACGTGATATTTCTTTTTTTCTGCTAATTATTGGAAACTGGACGTGTCTCTTTGATGACCAGTTCAAACAGTCTCCATATATTACGTCCACGTATCCTTTGGACTGTTTCCATTTTTTCTCTTTTAATTATTGGACGCCGGATAGCAAGCGCATTCAATGAAATGAAATATTTTTTTTTTCTTTACCATACTGCGATCTCGTTTACCTGAAATAATATAAATCGCGTTAATTGGATAATTTTGCAGATGGAGAGAAATTGAAGACGAACGACCGAAGGGCGTCTGGTTTGATGGCCTATCCAAGGATTGGTCGGTCCGATCAGCCGGTCTCAAACGTTAATTATAATCGGCATCGTGAAATGGAACCGGATACGGAAATGCAGTTTTACAACACACACGATTCGGATTTGGATTCTGCCTCGGAAAAGGATTACGAAGGTAAAACGCGGCCGTTGTAGCCGAAACAAGCTTGACATGCTTTTAAGCTTTCGTGTTTGGATTCAGTGAACTATAGCGAACTTTTCGCACCATTTGGCTTTGGTACATCCTGGCCAATATTTCAAGTATTTTTGAGGAATTGAAACAGTTTAACCGAAACATCCTGTATCTGATATTTCGATTAATCGATCAAAGAGATTCATTTACATATATTTCCTTTGCCCATAATACAAAGCAGGAAAGTGCAGTGTAAATTTACGTAGCCACATAAATTACCGTTTAATTCGTAGATTCACGCAACGTCATCTCGGTATTCAACGGAAGATCGATGAATCCGAAGCACTCTGATAAAATTCCAAAAGACTCGTCATGGTTGATCACCAAGGAGTATCGGCCCTGGCAGAAGATCGACGACGGTAGATCCCATCACTCCAACTCTTTACTTCTGGCTCGAGGTAGGAAATTTCATTTAAAAAAAAAGTAAAGCGTGCGGTTTGAATCGAACCCTTTCGTTGCAACCTAAAAATTAGGTCCACGTTAATATAAAAAAGAAAAGAAAAACGGTGAATTACATTGTTATTATGCTAACAGTGCATCTTGCTATACGTATCCATTTTCACTGCGCCAGTGATATAAATCAATAACGAACGAACCAAGAATTTTAATTGGAAATTCATAAAACACTCTCCGTTGTATAATGGAAGGGTGAACTAAAAACAATCGAGAGGTTTCAAAGTTTGATTTTTTAACTTTAACCCTCGGTGAAAATAATCTGTCTTTATTCGATTGTTTACTACCGATTTGCTGGCAGCTTTTTCGAACGAATCTCCAGCAAAAAAAAAAAGAACCACACCACGTATTGCGAAACATTTTTGGCATTCGCGAAAATCCATCGCCATCGATACGTGAGCCGAGAACAAAACCGTGAGCCGCGTATCGTGAATGTTCTGTTGATTTCAATTTAATTTCTCGCCTCGTACGAATAGTATTTCATTTCTCCTTCTATTATGGCGAACGCGGTACAAATGAATTTGCGATAAATAAAATCCTGTTAATGATTTATTTATTGAATCGGATATTTTTATATCCGAGGAATATAATCTTTTTAGCTGCATGCTATACTTTCTTCTAGAAATTGTTAGTTTGAAGTTTTATGATTTTTTCTTTCGTCTTGTTTGTGTTTCATTGTGGATTTCTTTCTGTATTATTTTGATAGAATATTTTATTTCTCTTTGGAGGCTTGTTTTTTCTCTGTGTGTTGTGAAGTTTTTGAAGTTATCGACTTGATTTTGTTTTTCGTTTCGTCGTCGATTTTTTCCTCATTTCGAATTATCATCTTTAACATCCTGGTTTGTCCTCGGAAAACGGAGCAACGTCTTCGTTTTTCTCACTTGTAGTTTCGTTTGTTGGTTGATTCCAGGGTTTAGGAACAGCCAGATGAATGGATACACGCCGAGACTAGGACGTGAAAGCGACGCGGATCGAACATTCTGCAAATGATCTCGAAACGTGAACTTCGACCCCGGCCGGAAGTTGCACGATCTAATTTAATAATCTATCCTTAACTCGTGCCACTAAGTTTCGACATTGTTTCATCCCTTGCCTTACTCAAACTTTACCATAACTTAAGATAAAAAGAAAAGTGAAACCATATTTGAAGAATGAAGTGTTGAATATTCATGACAATAAAGCTTTGAAATTCAATTTTGAATAATGAAGTGTGTTAGCATTAATATAATACAAACATCCTACTATTAATTTAGTATAATATACTTTCCTACACTTCCTCTATGAAGTACTAATTAGTTTAGAAGTTTGATATTTTGCGAAGCTTAGATCACAGAAACTTTCCAAATTTAACCCTTTACGATCCAAAGTATCTACGTAAACTTCGATTCGTAAAATTATCTAAAGGGCAAGGGATGAAATATATGTATGGAAAGCTGTAGGTCGAATGGTGAATCGATTCCATAGCCAAAAACGAGCTCGAGTACCATTTATCTGTATTTATTTCGATCATTGTGAAGTTATTGGCATGTAGATCGTTCAAAGAGTATTCGGTGACAGACGAAAGAAGGTAATAAAGCTGGTGAAATTACGTTCCTCGTTCAACAGCAACCTCCTCCTCCTGTTCGTCGAATGTATGTGCACCCATTCCATGTCTCTCCCAAACATATTGATCACGAATTTCCATTGAGTATTTCTTTTTTTCTCCGATCGAATGATCGTCCAGATTCAGGGAATTAATTCTTCTGAAATTTTTCTTTCTTAACATCGTTCTCATTATCGTAACATTAATGTTAATGGAATACAGAATTTCTATATAGAATGCTATTTACTTCGAGCATTGACTTGGTATATCATTATTCAAATTGTACACCGAGTGGTATAATTGGCGAGCAGATTGCAATAATTTAGCAAACACTGCTTCTGTTGTTTCCGTAAGACCAGATTTCCAATTACCACGGATCTGTTTCTCCCGTAACAGTGATAATCATCGCGTTGGTCAAATAAAACGTTTCAAATTTAGTTTAATGATTCGAGATGCGGCAATTAGTTGCTTGTTAAATGATTCAATGAATGGTAACGTTTTCGGTATACCTATATTTAGGTGTGCTTCGTTACCGAAGTTTAATTGATTATTACATGAAATTCGAAACTGACGAAAAATTCGAACGCGCGGATTTCAACCGATACTTGAAGAAAATAACTCGATCTGTGTAAAATTCAATCGTTTTATTAATTGACAAAGTGTTCATAATGGGCGGCGACGCTGTACACGCCAGCCACTCTATTTTTAATACGTGTACTGCGATAACAAATATGTACACACGTAGAGTACGTAACAAACTAGTGATACACCTCGAGAATGATTAGGGAGGGGAAGGTAACTCGGTAACTTTACTTCGTTTCTGTTTCCGCCACACGGAAAGAACCTCGATTTTTTTCTTTTTCATTTCCATCGTTTCTTTATGTACAAACCACCCACATTGGTGTGTATGTTGGCAACTAGAAGAGACTTAAGGTCTAACCGTCACGCACGCACTCACCATCGTCACCGTACACGCTTCTTTTCTCTGCGAGCAGCCATTTTGTACGTCGACCAAGCATGCAAGCCAGGCAGACAAGCGAACATACAGACACATGGGGGGTCGTCTTCGAAACTGTACGTGTCCATCCGTCTATGCGAATTGTATCAAGAGAACTTGAAGAGAACTTACATTGGGGTGAAAGTCTTTGGAAATAAAGAAGGTATGAAAATTGGTCGTTTGAGTATTTAACCCTTTCGTTGCTTAATATCCACTGTACCCTAAGAGCGACCTACAGTCACCCATTGCTAAGCACCCACTGCGTGCCAAGGATAACCGTGGCCAGCTGCTGTGGTGAATACTGTTAAGTATTCATGCGTGCATGGTAAAAGAATAAATGAAATGAATTGTACAGGAAGGAAACCTGTTGTACGTAGCCGCAAAAATGACTGGCGTCTGGTGTGCCCATATAGCGTATTAGTCTTCTGATAGAACATTGCTCTAGCAAGAGGGTTAACAAACGTATGGCTTCTGATGCGATAGAACGAAGTGCGAATAAGGGTTCGAATGTGAAAAATGTCTATGAGATTTGTGGATTGAATGGACAAACAAAAGATCAATATTATAATCCTTTGATACTCGTGATCGTTGGTATAATAAGAAAGGTTAAATGACAAATGAATGATTGATGAAACTTTGCCTTCTCGAAGTTTTGAGCAAACGAACGAGTTTGTCTTGCGATGATGATTTTGACTGAACGTACTTGCGATTCGAAAATGATTTTCATAGAGTTTGGAACGTGCAGTTTCGACACTCCATGTCTTATATAATCGAATAGGCTGGACAGACATAACTGGATTGGATTCGATCAAATATTCTGTGTATACTACTTTCGTTAACCTGTCGGACGTCTTTAATATACGCACGAGATACAAACTTTCTAGGTCCCTGTATGCATACAACCTTACTCAAATGTACGCTCGAGGAATGGTATTTTGTTGATTAAAAATATGAGCCATTCGCTTACCAAGTGGCGATAACGAACGTTTCCTGGAAGCGAAGTTCTGAGCAAATTTAATGGGTCAGTCGTAAAAATGCGTTTTCATTTCATCTTCATTCAAACCTGGCAGTTATTATTTATTTATATCGCGTGAAAGTTCCGTTTCTTTTTTTTTTCAGGATTAAATTAACTTTTCAACGTGTAGCTTTGTTGCGTCATTAAAATGTCACTCTTTATTCAAAAAGAAATAAAAGTGAATAACGTTTGACCATCTTAAAAATGTATACGTTCATCTTTGAATGATCGCTGTTGTACAACTACGATAACGATTGAAAATAAATGAATTACAAAAATGTCAACCATAATCCTCACGCCTCTGAAAGACTCGTCGATTATCAGAACAATTTTATCACACCGAAGATACATCGAGGTCACTGTACGAGGTTCTTGGAAACTAAAAAAACATCACAGCCCATGAAACTCAAGAATGTCCACGATGAGAAACGAAGAAAGAAAAATGAACGATCAGAGTCAAGTTTTCACGCATAGTTTCTTGGTAGTCTCACCTGGTAGGCCCATGGCTCACCGTATAAAATGCGGGGTACACACCGTGTGGAAATACTGTCGGCGACGAACACAATAATGAAGAAGACACCGTTTAAGGGAGGACGCGACTGAACGTTGAGGGAAGAAAAGCGACGGACGAGCTTTGAACAAGTATAACCGACTAGCCGGCCCCCTCTAGGCACTCGACGTGTCTCAGAGGGATACGAACTCGTGGGGCGGTTGAATAATTCGGGGTGGCGGCGGAGGTGATAATCGTAGGTCCACGTCCGTCAATGAGAACGCGGAGCTCCCGTTAGCGGTCACACGGGGCCCCATATTGTCGTAAGGGGAACAGAGGTCGCTCGATCGCAATGCTCGTCGCGGTAGCGTCGCGAAACTGGACACGCTGCTTGCGGATGGTAAGGCTGAGGTGGTTTTATTCATTGCACTGCTCGTGCCGTGAACCGGGATATCTAGCAAGTCGGGATAACAGCGATCCGAAGAGTCCTGCGGCATCGACACAGAAATAAAGATATTTCCGAAGATTCCAGCTGGCAGAACGCCACTGGTGAATTCAGGAGGCGGTGGCGGAAACATCGCGGTGCAGGGAACAGCCCTCATAGCGTTCATGGAACCACTTGTGACTTCCGGACGCAGTCTCTCGACAGTGACGGTGGCTGCGCTCATTGGATCGCAGATCGAGCCACGTTCCGCCAGTTCCAAATCACCCGTGCTGCAAGCCTCCACCAAACTACCGTGGCCACTACCTCGATCGTTGCTATTTCCTGGAGTCGTGGTAGTCACGGAAAGATCGAGCAGCTTCTTTTCTTGGTCACCGAAGCTAGTACTACCTTGCAGTTTCACCTTCTCGCGGGCACTGTGTCGACGAGTCCCACCGCACACGCAAAGTGCTAACAATACCGCGGAAATTGAGGCGCACAAGGCAGCGGCACCACCGCCTGCCAAACTGACCCATAACAACCAATTATCGCTTTGGGAAAGCGTGGGCGCTGTGTACACTCGCGGTATCGCCACACTGACCGTGTCCCTGGCTAGTCCGGCAATGTTCTTCGCGAAACAAGAATATTCTCCAGCGTCACCATCACTTGCGTTGTAGACCGTCAGGTTATTCCACCTGTCCGTTATCCTCGCCGATGTAGACCATTCGTTGTAGACTGTGCCGGCGTCCGAGGTCGCGTACGCAACGTAAGTTCCTGAATATGTTTGCTCGGTCAATTTCGTCGCGTTCACCGGGCCACCGTTCAACTGCCACCAGACTTCCGGTTCCGGATCTCCCGTAGCCAAACAAGCCAAGCTTAGATTGCCGTTCGTCTCCTCCTTGATACTGCTAGCCAGCACAAACACTTTCGGCTCGCAAGCGAACTCAACGGGTTTCACATCCTCCCACTTGCGACCGTTCAATCGTAACGGCAATGAACACACTTGAGGCACGGAGTACAATTTGCTGGGTCCGTCAGGTATCAACCAACTACGAAAGTCCCGAAGCCTACAATCGCAGCTCCACTGATTACCGTCCAACGTAAGAGTCTTTAGACGCGGCAAACTGGAAATCACTGACGCCTCCAGATATTCGAGCTTGTTCTGATCCAACCTCAACGACTCGAGTCCAGTCAGATGAACGAACGCCTCGCCGTTGATCTCGGATAACGAACACCTCTGTAACTCTAGATTCCGCAAATGCTGCAGAATCGGGAACTGGTGGCTCCTCAGGTTGCCGAGAGGATTGCCGCTTAAAATTAGGATTCTCAGTCTTTCGTTGCCCAAGAACGTGCCCGGCTCCAGGCTCTTAACATGGTTGTCCGATAAGTCAATCTCAACCAAGATTCTCATGTCCCTGAAGGAATCTGAATGGATTTGGTGTATACCGGCATTCCTCAGGAACACCCTTTGCAAATTCAACAAACCGGAACGCTTGAAGACTTCTGCCTGCAACGCGGGAATCTTGTTCCCAGATAGATCCAGCACCTGCATGTCGGGATCCAACGAGGCCGGTAGAGACGTTAAACCAGCGTCAGGACATAGAGCGGACTTCTTGCCAGAAGTCCACTTGCATCGACACACTGCCGGGCAGTCGGTCCAATCCGGAAACGCGGCTGCTCGTGACAGTAAGGCGAACGTGCCCAGTAAAAAGAAGAGGGCTAACAGGATACGCCCTCGCAGAGGGTGCTGCTTTGGCCCTAACATGCCACAGCTTCAGTTTCTCTTCTGCAGCTGTTATTTGTTCCTCTGGATCCTTCCCCTGCCGTTTAGAGATCTGTAAAGACAGAGGAAACCATTGACAGAACTCTGTAGAAAATATATACGGTGAACATGTAGGAGGACAAAGGCGAGTGCAAAACCCAAATTCAAATGCCCCATGACTCGAAGTATGATTCGATTGTGCTGTGTTCAAGTGGAATACTACGTTAACTATAAAGATTACGTTTTGTGATGATAACTTTCTTCGACGCATACAGGCTGACCCAATTTAATTGTAACCCCGAGCGGTACCGATTCTCAGAACTTCTCAAACAGCGACCTACACGGACGTAATACTTTTATACATCGATCCTGGCTGTACTGCCGCTTTTTTAAATTCTTCTTCTTCCTTATTGTAAGCGTGCTTTGAACGTCACCGAATAATCGATGAACATGATACATGGATATTTTTGGAAATTCGAATGGAACTGTTGTGTATATTGTGTTGAGTTGGAAGAAAAAGTGGAAGCATTGTGGTCGAAATGGAGAATGGTGGATCTTTTTAAAAAATCCCATGACTCAAAATCCGTCCCACCCCCGGTTTTTTTTACATGTTACAATTTTGTCAATCGTACTACCATTTTCTCTTTGTTATACACAAGTTTTGATGGCACAAAAGCCGCTGCTGTTGCATTATTCTGCATCCTAGAACGTTTCAAACAAACTGAACTAAACTTTTCGAACAAAGAAACGGAACAAGCGTGCTACGGAAAGCTTGTTTTCTCTTTCCTTTTTTTTGTCGGTTGGAAACAAGGAAGCTAATTAACGAATTTTTTCGATACAAAGTAACGAATCACGTTCGAAAGGTTGGTGAATTAAACGGACATTCCCACCGATTCATAGATGACGGAATACTTTTGGCGATTCGAGTTAAATGTTTTGAAACTTGTGCCATATATAATTTGGATTGTTCCCGTTAGCGTGTAAAATTACGCGTGATAATTTCCGGATTAACACGCTCTCTGACACTGTTCCCTCGTTAGAGACAAAACGTCGCTACTTAACACGTTATTGTACGCCATTGGTTGAACCAACACTCGTATTCGTTAAATTTTAACGCCTCTACGCGACGAAACAATTAAGTAAACAGCAACGAAAATCCGGCTTTTATATGTGCAACCACGTACGGGTTAAATTCGTTTATTCATACATTTTTTTTTATTATAATCTAAGTTAAGATTTTAATTACGAACATTTTTTATTCTTTAACGGTTTATATTTGAGGTCGTATAAACAAAGGTATTTTATCGAAAGTTTATATTAAAATTTTCAATCTTTTCTCTGGAGAAATTTAATAAATTCATAATATTTTACAAAGCATCTATTCGTACAGAAGAAATTAAAATTAATGCTCTTAGATTGTGGCTGTTTCTTGGATGAAAAATTATTCCCTCGAATGTTTGAACGAAGTTGGTGAACTGAAACGAAGGATAATACAGAGTTATGATTAAAAGCAACCGTTTAAACGAAGAACAATAGACGAAAATGCTGATAATGTGTAGGACGAAGGAAGCTATAACGTTCGTTACACAATTTCCATTCATCTAGTAGCCTGATATAATTAATCAGTGGGTTATAAACAGTACCCCTTAATAAATACTTTGAGTCTGTAACGACACGATAATTTATTTACACGATTACGGATATTAATGACGCGCAATCGAAATGAAAGTTCGCGTTTGTGAAACGTGAAACGTTTTCAACTATATTTCGCGGTTCGAGTAAACCATATTAAGTGGAGGAGAACGTAAATAACCAAAATATCGATAAATTATCGGTTAAATTAGGGTTTATACGTGTTGTTCGAAACAGCAAAGATCAAAGTGTCGAATTTATGGAGGATAAAAGTTGTAGCTCCTGTACTCTGCACCTTATGCATGGATCGATAACTGTTGTGCAAATATTTTTCATATAGTGGCCACTTTTAACGTTGTTTCCGTCCAAGGAAGTTAAATTAAAATTCAACGTAAAAAAAGAAAGAAATTTTGGAGCAAAGAGAAGCTATTATGATGAGAGAGAAATGTGTATTTTTCGAATTGAAAAATTGCATTGTTCTAAAATGATTAAAAAATAAATTCATAAGACATTTAGCACAGTAACACGTATAATTAACGATCCCTTACTTCGTGTATTTAATAATTTACTAAATCCTTTTGCTCGAATCATTGATTATTAAAGTGCGGAAGTTTATGAATTTATAACACATCAGAGGATACAAAAAGCATGCTACGAGTCTATAAAATATGCAAATCCTACGAATTATGGTAATACTTTCAATCAGCTGGAGAAAGAAGATAATTGATAAAAACATAAATTTGCATATTAAGTTTACAAAAATTAGATAAATTGCAAATAAGCAATAATCTTATATTCGTACAAGATTTCTTTTTCAACCTTCCTCTCCCTAAAGAGATTACCGAAGAACCAACGAACCAATACTTTACACCCCATCACACCATTACCCAGCACCGCTCAGATTTCCTTCCAAACGAAGAAAACAAATTTATAACTTACCGAAAGGATATTTCTAGCATTGTTCGAGCGTCGCTATCGTGGATAAATATTGCAAGAAGTGCAGAAACATAGGAATTGAAGCAAGAAGGAAAAAAGAAAAGCAAGAGTATCTAAGTAAGAATAATGCTGTGCTTACACTTACTTGAGCGTCTGCTTTGGCCGCCACTAAGCATGCCGTCTGCGAATCTGAATGGAGCCGTCATGCTTGCGTGGACGCTTCCATTGTTTCTCGGGGACTTTCATTTCGCCGACCAGGCTCCTTGGTGCATCACAAAGCCATTGTTGCCCGTGACTTCTTAGATTTCATTCTGATTAAGTGCACTGGCCGTGCACGTTGGCCCACTTGTCGACCCGTTCCTCTTCCACCATTAATCTGCAACAAAAACAACGATCCTGCTGTAGTTGAAAAATTATGTAACCTCGGTACACTAGCTTCCTTCGTTAGTCTCGGACGTTTCATCAAAGTTAGATTAGATTGTTTGTATCGGTAGAATTTTCTTTTTTTTTTTTCTTTTTTCGAGCATCCGGAAACAACGTGGCGTAAACGACAGCCATACTTCTCCTACCAGTTTCCGGCTGCTCTCCGTGTTAAGGTATATTAATTGCTGACGTCTGCTAATGGTATGCTCGCGTAACGCCCGGTGAAATTTATATCGATCATAAATTAGCGAGAAAGTCGGCCGGGAGCGTGGCCAATAACTCTCGATGTCCCCGAATCTTCGGTAAGAGGACGCGACCGGAAATCTTTGGTTCCGTTATCAATGAGATGGATACCGGTGTAACAGAAATTTCAGGGGGGAGTATGTGTAAAGAAAATTGAGGAGATCGTTGAATTAAAGAACGAAGGGATTTTTAGGTAAGATTGTTAGAATTGAACGGTCGATTCGAGGCCGGCACGATTCTCTCGTTGCATCGTGTAGTACGCGTCACTCGACTCCCTCCAGAGCGAGGGAGCGAGCGAGCTTTCGAGTGCATCGACCGCGGCAAATTCGCTTATACACGTACTTGCATGAATCTGCGGATGCGACGAAAAATCCGTACGCTCGCTTCGCCGACCAATCCGCGGCGACGCTTAGTGGCTCGTTGAAAAGTTAAACGCAAGAGTCTGTCTCTTCCTGGTTTATCCGTCTTCTTTGTTCATCCTACGAGTTGTGTTCCTTTCCTCTTACGATTCAATTATTTCATGTTCGTCCTTTTTCATTTGTTTATTCTGCCCGTGGGAGTCGGCTTGTCACCTTGTTACTCGTTGGTGGATCAGTACGAACAGCACGTACGAGAGGACACCACTCGAGATTACGCAGGGGAGGCGGTCAGGTCGCGTGATATCGCGAAACGAAGCGAACGGGTAAGAAACGTGGGAGCAACGCAAAGTAACCGCACCGATGCACTTGTCAGCTTCCTATCCACGCGTGTAGTCTCAGGCGTGCGAACGTGTGTTTGCCCGTTCTCGCGAGAGGACATCCCCCACCTGAGCCGCGGGGTCGTCGACTGGCATCGACGAGTACTTTTCTATTATCCTCTCGGCCCGATCAATCAATCTCGTCGCTCGAGACCCGACGACGATAAGAAGCTTTCGCATCGACCACTGACACCCTTCTCGCCGACCAGTCGTACGTCGAGGAAACGCGAACGTCGAGGATGCTGCGACCGCGTCGCTCCATCGAAGACTTTCATCCCCCCGGATAGCGTTCTTCTCGTTCAACTATCCCGAGAACAATCGCACGCACAGGCACACAGTCGCGTTGAACATATAGCTGGTACGCGAAACAGATACACAGCTTTCGACCGAGGCACCTTTCTCCCAACGAGACAAAACTTCCGGCTGATTATTAATCCCCGCGATCGTGTCACGCACACGCCACAGAAACCTGCAGATATGCCGCAGAGGCCAGCGACACGATGCCACCTCCGTATCCCCGTGTCTGTTCCTCTCACTACCCCCTCTTACACCCTGTTGCCCCTCTACGATCAGAGCTCACCCTCCCGGTGGTCGTTTCGCCGCCCTCTCACTCGCTCGTTACCCCTTGCTGTCCCTTTTCGGCTCCCTTGCCGCAGACCCGTTCGCGGGCAGCACCGTCGAATTCTGGTTCAATGAAACTTATTCCCCTTTGCTGACACCCGCCACCACCAATACCCCCTCTCGCTACAGCCAACCTTACGACCCTCCTCTGCCCTTTCGCGGTCGTAATCGCGCTCGTACCAACCCCTAAGTTCCTACGGACCTTCTACCGCCGCATCTTTGAATCTTATCACTGATAACGTTTTCGGGTGGAACATAAAGGTTCTATGGGTACAGAACCGAAATTCGATGGGGGTAGAAACTTTAATCAAGAGTTAGGACAAAGTGAAGATGCCGATGACTCGATCGATCGTGGCAGAAGAGACAACCAAGGGTTGCTTCCATTACTTCAGATATCTAACTTATCAACAGAAACGACAAGTTGAACTTCGTGGAAAGTACCACAGTTTTGGTTCGTGTCGCTACTACCATTAGTTAGGGAACCCTATAGATCAGTGGATGTACTTCCAGGGAAATTTTGCGGATCTACATTGTCCCCTACTTGTTCTTCTTTCGTGTATGTACTCGTAAACTTACCATAAACTCCACGAATGAATGTTAGTGATGGAATAGCAAGAATCATGTGGTCGCAGGGTTTATCTGTACTATAGAGACCCATGGAAAGTGGTAGATGACCGAAAGGTGGATGGTAGAGCCTAGGTCAGATTGATAGAGTAAACAGTAGAGTATACTAGCGCCAGTAGAAACAGTCCGTTAGCTCTTATTTGTAAAGTGAGATAGTACCATAATCCCTCTATATCAGTCCAATGTTCTAGAGCTAGTATACTCTACTAATGTAACTTCCCAGTATCCCTATCAATATCCTTCCCCAAACATGTCTAACCTGCTAGTAGCTTTACTACTATAATCCTAAGATCCCTTACACTTTCCCTTATTGCTCCCCTCGAGTTCCTTAAAATAAACACACTAATTGAGCACTCCTAATCATGACGTACACCATTGCTGTCCAAAATTTCCCCCTTGAGACAGTGGTCTTATCAGCTAGTTTTCCTCTACTTATATCACCGTTTCTGACCCCAAAGCTTATCTCGTGACAAACCGTAACACCCTGCAGTTACAATACGGCATCTGATGATAGGGTCGCGCGAAAAATAGGATGTGGAGCAGAGAATCAATGGGATTATTCACGTAGTCTCACGTGTACAGAAAATAGGGTTTCGATGTCGCCACTTCCTTCTACGTTTTCAGCATTTTATTACAAGAATATAGTATAAACTTTCGCTCGATAGTGTGTATGTGTATACGTATGCATGTGGATGTCAACATGTACCTGTATGCATGTAGGTAGATATGTATGCGCGTGTTTGTGATTTTGGTGTGTACGCGTGCTTTCATCACGCGTGAATCTTGTTTCATTTTTTTTTTTTCCTTTTTTTTTTTTATACATATAGAATCTCGCGTTACTATTTCTTACTGTTCCTGTGGAAACCCACCCCCTCCGTAGCATCACCATCGACCCCCGGACGCAGGCCACGATAGTCATAGCTTTCTTCGATAGTTGATCGATATACGTATAATAATATATCTTGCGTTTAATTCTTACGTTTACCTTATCTCCGCTAAATTGTTACTCTATATATATGTATATATATAGGTATATCTTCTGTGTCTGTTTTGTATGTCTGTGTCTGGGTTTTTCATTTTTTTTGTTTTTTCTTTTTTCTTTTGTTCACGTTACTGGAAACATACTTGGCAAATTCACGTCTAATAGTTACAACGAAGCAGTGTTTTTTTTTTTTTATCTTGTTCTTCTCTTTTACCTTTCTCTTTTTTTTTTTTGTTCCGTTCATTCATCCTCTGTCTCGTTCACTCGTTCTCTCGCACTCATTCTATCTCTCTTTCGATCTTAAAGATCTGCTCGAATCGATCATATTTTTTTTCGTTTTTTTTTTTTTTTTAATTGATATGTCAGTGAGTTCTTATCCTCTTAACAGCGTAGTTCCAACTCGTCCCAGGGAAAGCGTAGTTAAATGCGAACGCCAATCGTCCCCGTCGTTCGCCACGGGGTTATTTCCAGCTATTAGCTGTAACAATCAATTAGAAAATCGTCACAGTTTTGGAAAGATATTCTTTCGCTATTTCGGAAATGGGTTAAGTCCACGTTCGATACGTTGAAATTTTTCGGAAATTATTGGGAGTTCCTAAAGTAATAATTCCGCCAAATTACGACAGTCTACCATTGTAGTTGCGACTACAACCGTAGAGGTATAAAATTAGTCTTTGTATATCATCAAAGCACTGTACCCAATGGACTTTCCCGTTTCCCTTAGAAAGCAACGCGAACACCCTTTCATACCTTTGTAATATATGTCTCTATTCATCGTCGGGCAGTTCTTCGGTCCCTGAAGAGCAAGAAGTTCGACACAATTAGCACCTGATTGTACAGTTCAAAGCTCACGGTCTCTTTATCTCGTGTCGGTTCTTTTCTTTTTTTCATCTATGCGCATTTGTATATCGTACCTGAACATTAAAGTCGATGTTCGTTCGAACGGGACGATGATGAAGCGGTTGCGGAGGTCTGAAATTATTCCCAAGCGGCGCGTTCGGATGATCCTTGTCCCCTTGCATTAATTGTCGCAGAGCGAGAAGCTGAAACGATAAACAAGAGAACGAATGCGATGAATGAGTGATTTGTTTTTTCTTTATCTTTTCACGTTTTCATCGTATATTTAGATTCTTCGATTCGTCTTCGAATTAAATTACATCAATCAAATGGTGCTAAATACAGGGGGTTTGTTAGCAGTTTTTATTTTTAGTTTCAACGGAAAAGCAATCAATTTTCGTGAAACTTTCAAGCGAACCGACAAAACGAGCGCAAACAATGAATCAAAAAGTTTCACGAACGCAACTGATTTATCCCAAGCGGTATCGATTACTTTTTGATCGATGATTTCGTCGAGTTTCTGGCGGTGAAATGCAACCATAGGGATGCATTTTTAATAAATTTAGCCAGGAAAGCAACGGTGGCGTGCGAGGAATTATACTTGCTAAAGCGGAGATTCCGTGGCTAGTATTTTTCGGGACCGACTAGCCTGAACGACATCAAAGGGATGCAAAACAAGCGAGCACACAATGTGTTGTTCGTTACCTCGAGAAAAAAGAGAGAAATAAAAAATAAAAGTCCTCGAGGGAAACCACGATGCTGCGGTGCGACGCGTGTATCGAATATTTTAAAGCTTATCGCACCCTGTTTAAAGTGAAAACACATTCAGAGTGATCCATATTTATGCAAGATTTTCTTCCAACTGCAATCTCGTTGGAAAAAAAAAAAAGGAACTTATATACATTTTAACGACGAATGCAAAATTCTCTTCAACATTTTTTTAAAAATCTAATTCGTTATTTCTAGCGGAAATCAATATTTTCCATCCCTTTTTCCATTCGATAAAATAACATTAAATATCATCAGATATTCGGCCGATAAAACACGTCCGGTCTCTGTTCGATTCGAGTAATATTAAAATAGGAAGGCAGAATCGTAAATAAGCGACGACGTGGTACGACAGGGTTTTTTGATTTTCGAGAACGCGAGCGGAAATCGGACGCATGTAAACGATCCATTTGGCTGATTGATCCGCTGCCAGATATCCATTATGCCGCGAATGAAAATGCCATCCGTCCACCGGCTGAAACGTTTTGAAAAATCATGCTCGAGATGCAATTGAGATTGCAGCCGCGTCATTTCCGCGAACGATGGATCGCAGAGACCGGCAAACGACAGCCGGCGCATCGTTCAAAAAATCGTTTACACCGCCAGTAAATTATTTTTCCATTTCGGTGTTTACGGTATTTCTCTCTGTCAGATTGTACAAAAAAATTTTCAATTACCGCGTTGAATATCCCAGAAACACGATCAATTATTTCGCATAGCAACAGCAGGAAAGTTGTTTGAAAACAAAATTGCTATCGATTCGATTAATTTACTGAACTCGATCGTTGTTTCATCGACTGTAATTCGGGGAAATGGTGAAAATGAACGAGGAATGGAGAGAGAGAGAGAAAAAAAAAAAAACGCATTAAGACATCAAGAGCACGTGATCCCGTGACGATAAAGAACCCACGTAAACCAATTTCCTCGGGGCCGTGCGTGCTAGCGAGATTCTAACTTGCCCCTGGCCACGCGAAATCGTTAAAAGAACATCAGAAAGTACTTTCGTGCGTGAGCAACCGCGATTCTTCGCGTCCTCCTGGCCAGATACGATCCTCGTTAGTAACGTTTCAACGGAAACGAAATAAAACTTCTAGCCTGAAGGACCAACATCGTATCGCATTCACCTGACAGATGCACCTATTCTCCAAATGGAACTTGCATTCTTTCTTTCCATGCATCAACTTGTATCTTAATAGCGATACGATTTCACGGTGCGAATTAGGGGAAGTTATGATTGACCTATTCTACTTAAAAAAATGAGAATTTCATTTCTACGCGTTTCGATTGGCAAGGCGAGAACTAAACTTACAGTGAATTCGATACGGTAGAAATCGTGGCGCGGATTAATGAAATAGGCGTGATTGATTCCTCACCTGCTGCTTGGTGATGTATATCGGCTTGTTCAGGATGATCCACGTGGTGGTCTCGTGGCAGGCCGGCATAGTTGTGGAGCCGTCGTACGTCATGTAATATTTCGTGTCCGGCAAGAGTTCCCGCACCACGAAACGCTTAATCTCCATCGCCTGGCCTGCGTGCAAATCAGTTCGATCGATAACGTTTTAGATCCGACACGAGCACCGTGACGCGCATACCTATCCAATTAACATGGACGTTCCTATGCACATGCTTAATATCTACACTCGCATGCAACGATGCTTTTTTGTGTTTAAAAGAAAATCTGAAAGAATAGAAGAACTTTCTATTGTTCTCTTACCAGGAAAATACATCATTGCATCGCGGTGCTATTATTTTTATTATTTAAATTGGTATTAAGAATTTTAATTTGCTTGAATCACGTTCCGTTATCAGATTTTTAATTAACCGACGTAATTAATAGAACTTTTCGGGGACTAAAAAATGACACGATTTTCATTTCTTCATCTCTGTCGTTATTTTCATCGAAGCCCTTTCGCTCAGCAATTGAAACCAATTACTCGCAATTAATTATATTTCGTAGAGGAAGACGGTCGTGCAAACGATTTCAATTGAAATTTAACCCCCGAGTAGAATTTAATATCTGGAATCCTTTAACTTATTAACGTTCAATTTTCTTCTTAAATGCTTCCCTTTTTTGAAGCACATTGAAAGCTTGAAATTTGGAATTTGGCATAGCCTCACCTCCGTATCTGATTTTATCCAGCTGTTCAGTGAATATTCGTAGCTCAGGGTTCGAGAGATCTCCAACCTGAAAGGCAACCAGTAGATATCGCTTTCGATCTTTTTTCTCTCGTGAAAACTGACGTGAAAGATTAGTCGTGTACCTGAAGGAGAAGGGACACCGCCACGATGCCCTGCGCCCTGTGCAACGCATCCGAGAAATTGTTATACAGCTGCGAGTTGAATCCGAATATTTGTAGCTGTTAAAAGAAATCATTATAAATCATTTTTTTTTTTTGTATATCCCATATAAAATTAGTACGGATATCCTGTATAAAGATAGGCACGTCGAGGGAAATGTTAGTGCGGTGGGTTACGAAGGTGTGGCCGTGTCTATAAATCGTCTTAGGGGATGAAATAGGGTATGTGAAGGGTGGTGGATACTAAGGGTGTAAAACATATTGCGTGATTTGAAACACCCTATCATTGGCCCCTTGAAATTTTAATAAAATTTTGTTGGCTTGTACAAGGGTTGATGTAAGGGTTGAACGATCAGATCTTTCGTGAAAATTATAACTTGATGTATTTTAAATTTAATAATTGCATGTGATGGTTTTCAAAATATCTAATCTTAGTTTATCGCGAATGAAAAATTCATCTTTAAGATAATTTCACCGCGTCTGCGATGCTTTTGTTTCATTTCTTTGTTCTTTCTGACAGCTTCGTGATATGATTAATTTTGCAGAATTATCAAGCATACATATCCACGCGTGAACTTTACATGTGTGTTGGTGTGTGTCCCACTTTACCCTAAAGCGTTCAAACTTTCGGCTATTAATAAATTTCTAACAGGCAAATATCGCAAAATGAGGCTGATGGAAGATTGGAAATTTCACGTTGAAAATATCTTCAAATAGGGTCGATCGAATACGAAAAGTGAATTAGTGACAAAATGATGATAAATCGATCAATTTCACTTTCGGTTACGAACACGTTCAAATTATTTCAGACGATTAACAAACATCAAAATTATTCCCTTGAAACGAATTTAAAACGAGAAAGTTGTTTATCGATTATCAGAAGAAACTTTTCATATTGGCAAAGTTTCATGTATATGTAATTTTTCTTTTTTCAAGGCAACTTTTTCTTCCCCTTGGTTGCACTCAACACACAGTATCAGCTCAGAAAAACTATTAAAGGCTATACGTTTCACGCCACATATATCTCAAATTCTATACTAGTAACCTAGTTCGCTAGTCTGACCTAGTTAAGAGATTAATACCTGAAACTGGTGGAAAAATAGAAACGGCACGGCTTTCACGTTAATCAGCTACGCTTACGTGATCGAGTAAATAAAAATCGTTCGTTCTTTTAATGAAACCGGCACAGGAATCCGGATAGATTTCCTATCTGGGAGTATTTGGATGGATATAGTCGAAAGGATCAATAATCGGACTTCTATCAGGGTTGCTTTTAGATAGAAGGGTGATTATCTTGAGTAGCTGATTTAAAGATTACCTGAAATTACAACCCTCGAAGATCTTCTTTGTACAATGTGCTAATTTTACCTTTATCAGACACCTATCAAATTCTTCGTCTATTATGAATTTCTCTTCTTAAAATGAGAATGTTTTTAAAAGATAAAGCGATTCTCAGAATAGAAATTTTGTTAGAATAAATCAATTTTCCAAGATGAAGAAGACGAAGTTAAATAATTCAAAGTTCTGTAAAGATAGGAATTCTTGTTAGATGGATCATCTGCAATACCATCTTTCTCGCAAGTTTTCGTATAACTTATTCGTCTAAATGTATATGTACACTTTCTCATCTCAATCACGATAAAATTATTCGACAACCATGCTCGCGTTCGATACGAGAATAAATATAACATACCTCCGCCGGAAAGGCATGCCCATCGACGGTATGCTCGCTACCGGTCCGATCGTCCAGTCCAAAGTGCAGATGGATCTCGTGGAACTGATAACGATAACTGAGAGGTCCCCCAGATATGTTAACCGGATGTCGCGTGTCGTTGTCCACCGCGAACACCACACTGTGACCTGTGTTGGCGAGCACACCACCGACCCTGTGCTTGTCCAAATGAAGGAGTTGTAGATTCGGGTCGAAGAGTAGCCTGGATGGTTCCAGGTTCACCGGTGATTGTCGTCTGCCCTTGTGACACAGCCACCATTCCGGATTGATGAGACCCCAGAAGCCAGGACCTTTCGAACCGAGCCGATTAAACAGTCGAACGCGGCTTTCGAGCATCGATTAACGCGCCCACCCTTGAGACTGCTAACAAGTTCGAAACGAAGTTTCCAGCAGACTAAACCCCGGGATTAGCAGGCAAAGGAGACGACCCGGTGGGTGGCATGAAATTATTCAAGAAGGGAAGTAAGTTCGAGATGCAAGTTTACGATTCAACGAAACGGGACACGATTAGGAAACGGGCTGGGTTGAAACGTATTTTGCTGGATGCTTCAATTTGAAACACACTGGTTGATGATCTCTTAACTTTGATGTTATCTGCTTAGGCTACTTGATAATGAAATAAATAAAAGAAGCTGGGATGGCCAGAGTTATAATATGCGAATTTATCACACCTCTGCTCGGTGGTGTGATATAAACCATCCCATAATAATTAATATGTAATCTGTACATCGATACATAATTAAGGGGAGAGAGAAAGTATGGGATTCCTTACCGGAAATACCGTCATAGGTCCACCATTCTTCCCAGCTGACGGGCCTAGATTCTGCAAATAGTTCATTATCAAGAATCCGCGCAACATCATTTAGGCGACAGCAGTCCTTAACCCAGAACTAGTTGCCGCAAGTTAAGTGGCAAGGATATTCGGGCACACTTCACCGAATAACGAGCTACTCGTCTCAATTATACACTTTCTTACAACAGTCCGCTCGAAAGCAATTGGCCCACTCAAGGTCATCTTCCCATTCTACCCTTAGAGACAATATCACGCGAATGAATCCTCCCTTAATCATCTTCCTCAGCGCGATCAAATTAAGAGTTATTTTAAAAAATGATGATGCATTTCGTCCCGAATCCCCTGAAAGGACTCTTTAAACCATTTGTGCCAAGTTTATGCCTTGGTAACGGAGAGAGTAGTCAGTTAACTTCAAGCAGACTGTACCTATTTCTGATGGGAATTTTTCAAAACCTGGCGTATAAAAGCAAAAAAGGTTAAGGACCACTGGTACAAAGTACGAAAGGTAACGTTGAAAGTACCTTGTATCAAAACGATCACAAACACTCCCCAGACGCCCAGGAAGACGGAACTGAATGGGGCCATTCCTTGCGCTGCGCGATCTTCGTCAATTGCACATTATTCGGCTCAATTCTACAAAGCAAAGAAACGAAAAACACGATTCTAGTCGATCCTCGAAGACACGTGTTCGCGAATCAACCACGTGACCGTACAACCCTGTTCCGAAGTTGGTCTTTGTAGCGTAAGATCGATCAGCCGCGGAGACAACAGTGGGGATCAACGTGATCCGAACTCCGCGAGAACTTTTCCACCCAGCAAAGACAAAGAAAGAAAGTTTCGTAGAAACGAAACGACAACGGAGTAAGGACGATCGATCGACGAGCACGCAGGAATGCCAGGACGAGTAGACTTTTAATTATCAACGGTCACGCGAACCTGTTCGATCCGAGGATCGCAACATTAGGAACGATAGGCTACTGAACCTAGGCCAACCGTACTACTCGAGTCGGACATGTGTAGCAGCCGATAAGGGTGACTTTTCTAGAAGAAAGAAAAGACAAATCTGCAGTCATCTTTGTCGTGGAGGACGCTCGAAAGGGGGCGGGGTTGCTCCTCGACTACCCCCTCTGCTCTGGCCCATTCTGTGTGAAGTCCACTCCACCCCATTGCACGCCGCGGCTGTATTCTTAGGTCAGGAAAACTCGAGTAGACACCCTTGGAAAGTCGATCGATCGATACGATACGATACGATCCGATCTTTGTGGATATCGTAGCCACCGGATCGGCAGAACGTGGCGAGTGTCTCTAACCTACACTGGCGTACAAGATAAGAGGCACTCCGAGTGCGATGACTCGGCTCTCCAACATCTGCTCCCTCGTTTTTCTTTCGCTAGAACACCATTCCGTCACGTTTCTTCCTCGAATTCGACCGTCTAGTTAAGTTTCACCGCGTGCAAATTGCTTCTTTCCTTTACACGGATCTCTACTTTGAACGCGCTTTGACGAATCTCGCGTGAAGAAGTGCGGTAACGCCGGCGAACCGTCTCTCCCCTCGCGTCTAGTCGCTTCGGTTTTTAATTAGACTCGATTCGGACCCATCGATCGATCTCATCGGATTTATTACCAACTTTCGCGTCCCCGTCTCGTCGACGGTGTCTAATCGAGCGAGAAGGCATCAACGAGCCTTCCTCTCTCTCTTCGATCGTTTCACCCGAAAGCAATTATAGAACCGGCAGGATTTTCGATTTCGATGGAGGTTCAATCGTGCTCGAAATAGCATCGTTTGATTCCCGATTACTTTCGGACCTGAGGGTTAACACTACTTTAGATTCTTTTTTTTTTTCATCGTTCGTCGAGATGAATTTAACCGTGCGATCGAAAGAACGAAAGAGAATAATTATTCCATCTTACCACTAGCAGAGTGCAACGACTCGACTCACGGTTCCCGCTCCTGCGTCGACTCGTCCCATGGACACCGTCTAGATGCTTCAGTTCGATCCTTAATCCTTTTACCTATCCTAATCCTTGACCAACCCGTAGAATTATCACCGAATCGAAGGTACACATTAGCCCCGTACACACACTCCCGCATATACACAAGTTTCGAAGGGTGACAGTGTCCTGTCAGAGCGGAGATGAGCCGAGTCGGTGGACGTTCGAGCGTGACGATACCCTACAAGGGGGATAAACGTTGCTGGTACTAGGAACCGAGTTGACCCCGATCGAATAGTTGCTGTCCTATGCCCTGGCTTGACCAGGAATCGCGCGAACGTAACGGAAGCGGAAAAAGCGCGAACGAGCCGCCAGGAGGAGAGACAGAGGCGAGCCGCGTAGGGTCGGTCGGCCGCGAGTGACTGGTGGGAGAGGACGAACGTGCGAATCGATCGGCAAAACGCGCGATGCGATGGTGCGGCCAAAATTTCGCGTGACAAGTAAACGGGTATGGCTCCTGCGCGAAATCAATAAACGACGATCGACGAAGGATCTGAAGCAACTGGACAGAAATCCTGGCACAACGGGATGCCGAGTAGCCTTTGGCGTGCAACCCCTAGGCAACCGGAAGCGTTTCTTTCGGCCGATACTGACCGTGGACGACGAAAAGGACCACGTCGCCTTCCTTCTTCTTCTTCTTCTTATTCTTCTTCTTCTTCTTCTTCTTCAACCGCCTCCTCCTCTCGCTTCTTCGCCGGCAGCACACCACTTAGCCACCACTTGTACGTTACGCCAGCAGACACCACCGAATCCCGGAACGAACGGACCACGCGAGTCAGTCAATGCGCCTCCACCAACGGCAGCAGCCTGATGACAGGCGAAACGCGAGCCAAGCAGCCTATTTTTTTTTTTCCTCTCCCTCACGGGGTATACAGAATAATTTTGTTAAAAAGCGGTCTGCGCCTTGCGAAGGAACGACGAAGGAGGAACGACTGCCCTATGAGACCAGTGTATACGTTCCTCCTTCTCCCTCTCTTCTCCTCCCTCCGTCTGTCCTTCTCTGTCCCTCCCGTCACAAGCCGATCCGTACTCCATCTAGATCTCTGTCAGCCGTGTTCCGGAGGCTGATGGAACGCATGCGCGACCGCGTATCCTTTTCTCTCGCTCTTCCACCCTTCGTGAACGGGCTAGTTCGAGCTCGTTCTCTCCTCCGGCCTCCGGCCCTCCTCGACGTTCACCAAGAGCCCACATCGATGCTTCCGGACACGGGCAACCAGCGTTTCGCGCCTCCACGCGCGCTTCCTCCGACTCCGACCATCCTCGTCCACCGGCAGGACGTCTGCGCACTTCTCGGCCCAGGACGAAGCGAAGCAAGGATGGTTCCTCGCCTCCTTCGGGACGAGGTACACCTGTGCCTCGCTAACTACTAGCGACCTACTCCAGACATTCTTCCGACCTAACGTTTCGCTTTCCAACCGTACGATTTTATTTATTTATATACCATTGTTACGTAGTTATTTCAGAGAAGATAAAAAGAATAGAAATTTAACAAAAGCGTCAATGGATGTTATAGTAATTGGGTGATTAGAGTTGTTTGTTTCGAATCAACTGACCTAGTATATTTCCTAACCACTCTGCGATAATCAGAGATTCTCTTTGAGGGAAATTAAATTGCTTACGAAACATTTTTCAACCCTCCTTTTACTTCGAGGGAAATGCTTCAAGTAGTTTATCCCGGAATTTGGTCAGACGTACCGTTTCACTCTTGTTTGGAATAATTAGCAATTTGATCGTTTAATTTAACTTCCGCGGGACGTTACTACTTGAAGTAATTAACAACGTTATCGATCAAATCAATCGGGGGAACTGTTTTTTTATTTTACTCGACCGATTGAAACAACGAAGTTAGGATGGTCGGAAACACGGAGTTGGAGGGAGTTACAGCTCGGAACAATTAACAACCTTGCTGTTAAATTTAGCCAGCTATTTTCTATTCCGCCTCTCATGTCCGCACAAAGGATTTTGAATAATTAACCAGGCTGATCGAACGTAGCCGGTTGAATTTCATTCGGAAACCCGAAGATCCAGGGTGATCAGTATAACAGTTACCGATCTCTTCGTTCCAGAGGCTATTCTAAGTTTCCTAGCTTCCACTTATTGTGTCACGGCTGTTACTGTTCATCGACGTTCGAACAGTCGGGCTGATTAATTCGATCAATCGTCTCGCGTCATCCGATAGATGCAATTACTTGCAGCCTCTTTAATCGCACGTTTTAATCTCAACAGCTTGGAATATAATTAAATGAAAACTTTCACTACTCGAAGCCGTAAGTCTAAAGTCGTAAGTCGTAGATAAAAGGTAAAAGAAGAAAATGGTAATACGAGCCCCCTAAAATATTATTTTACAAAATTGAACAAATCAAGCGACCATAAGGAGATAAATTGATGAAAGGAATTTAAGTAAAAGTTAGTCCTGGCTTAGATCAATGATGTCCCTGATCTTTCGGAAAGGTCTATCGACGAGCGTGTCACGATATTAGGGTGTAATTTTAAGCTGATGCTTGGTGTTTCGCCAACGTAAGCAGCGCCACGTGACCAGGCAGGATCTCCAGCACGGATACACCGAAAAGCTCCTGACTGGTCGACTACGCGGAGCCGCTTATCGATTTTCAAAGCGGCATTGCCCGAAACGCCGCTTTCCAGGCCTCGTCGTTCCTCCGGTTCACCGTGCACCGACGTGAAATAGAAGAATCCTAACTCGATCATGCCCTTGGAATACCATGCTACACCAACGTCCTTGAAGAGACGTCGAAATTGGTTAAAAAATGATATACCCTGAGGAACGATGAATTTTTGATACTTGAAGCTGATTTGATTAAGAAATTGATCAATTGATTATTCCGAATGATGATAGTCAACGAAGAATTCATTTTACTCTTTTCTTCTTTTTTTTAATTTTGTGAGATGCATTTGCATGGAATGCAGGATGAATGTAAATGTGAAAAGCTGGTCGACAAAAATCGATCGAACATAAGCCCTGCGAGAAAATCGTTGCGCCCCCTTAATCAGGAGCTCGTAGCCCCAATTACAAATGTCAGCACGTGACAGAGAAGGTGGCGACTAAAAGACTTCGCCCGTGTTTTTTCAGTTTCATTAGAGATCGACATTTGCTCTGCCACAGGTTCAGACTTGTCTCAATGACAGCAAAAAAGAATCTAGATTTTTCGTGATAATTGGAAATAACATATCCTCGATGTTAGTATCCAGAAAGGGTACGGTATTGTACTCGATAAAATGAAATAATTTTTGCAAGTTTTTCATTTTTATCAAAGTTTCTATCATTAAATCAGGGCCAGGATTTTTTAATCCCCGATGAATCGGGAATAAGTTGGTGAAATGTAAAGAAATTGGTGGGCAGAAAAACGTTGGCATTTTCCAGAAGGAAAATCCTCGTTCCGACGTGAAACTTCGTCAATTTTAGCGAATCCCCAGGCATCGAGTTGAAGCAAGCAGTCGGTCGCGATAGCCATGCATCCGAATGTCTATGCACGCGGCTGCAACTGATTGCTACCCCCCTACTCTCACCCTCCCCATCACTCCAGCACGAAGCTTGCTTGCTTGCTTGCTTGCTGGCCGACTAGATATTGAATTCACTGCGAAAACTTATGTTTGTTTTATTCATGCCGATGCGACGGGACAGCAATGATTATGGGTTATCGATGCTGTTCGACGTGACGGTCGCTTATGGCTATGCAAAAACCTTTTGGTGTTTGGCCCGCTATGGCGTTTTCCTGTCACGCCTTCGACATTCTGGCAATCGTAGGGGTGATGCAAACATTTCCATCCCGTATGAATAGTGTTACGAGGTATCTTGAAATACACGGTGAAATACGTATCTTCTCATAGCGAAGGGGCATTCTACTTTTGTGTCGAGATTCTTCAACGAGGAAATATTTAAACTGGGATGGGAAAGGCACGAGATTCGAGGGGGTGGTATTGGATGTATTTGGAAAATTGATTGATCGGTACAGGGGTGTTTGGCAGGCTTTCAATACCGATAGTCGGAGAAAGGAAATGCCTTTTTTTAACTTTACAAGGTTGGTTTAACAATGTTCTTGTTGGTCGTGTAAAATCAACGTTAAATTTCTCCACTATTTTAGTTGATATTATTATTTTCTAAACACGGAACGTACGTTGTTATGGCCCTCTTGAACATTTTACAAATACCTGAACGAAACTGTTATAAACCGTACCGCTCTTCAAATTCCAGTAAATTTACAATAAAATTCTACCTCGATACGATCCAACCGTCCTTTCTAGAATTTCCACGAACCAACAATTCATTGTTTTCGTATAAAAATCGAAGGAAGAGCGGCTGAAATCCGACGATAAAGTAAAAAAGAGGAAACTGAAAAGCAACGAGTTTCAGCTGAGACGGCAAAGGAAATTCCTCTTTGTTGAGAAGCTAAAAATAAAAATATCATCGTGTCCGATGGGAAAAACGAAGACGAGGTTCAATGTAAAGGCTTTCGGCGACAATAATGCGCCCTGTAACGAAGTAATGACAACGGATTATTGGCCGCGAAGGCAATATCCTGTCATCTGTTTCTGTTTCTCGCCACGAAATGGACGTACATTTTCCCCGGGCGTATCTTACAGGCAATATATCACGAGATATCGACAACGCAGGCCCCGTGTAATTAAAGGGACGTCACTGCTTTTGGAAACACGCCCCAACTTTCCGCCCAAGGCATTTCCTCTTTTCTTTCTTTCCTTTTTTTCAACTACGGTTCCGAGGAAATGTTTGTAAGTTTCGTTTTAACTCTTTACCACTATTGGTTTTTCTTATTCTGTCATTGAAATATAATAATTTTAAATTGATGGCAAAATTGATAACAGAATCATTAGAAAAATTCCATGCTTTTATAAAGAGTCCAAGAAGAGTAAGAAACTTTTGACGAATTCTCTATCGCAAACCACGCTTTAGGCTGTTTTAATCTGATTCTCGGTTTCCCATCTCCCTTTTTTCTCGTTGCTGTACCACTAAGAACGGTCTGAAAAGAAAGTGAAAAAAAAGAAACGAGGAAAATTTTGTTTTGACGAAGGAGATGCATTAGTGATGCAAATGTAGTTACGTCCGGAATTTTGACGTGACTTTCCAACAGAGAAAATTTTGGCTCGCTTTCAAATTGATCTATCTTTCATAACGCATTGCAATAGCTAAAAAAGAAGAATTACAGAATTTCGTCGAAGTGAATTTGATTTCCATCCAAATCACCATTTTGTGATTCGTTAAACGTCACATGACAAAAGTTACATTCTTTTTTTTTTTTTTGTTTTTCAAATCGACGTTCGAATTCGACGAACGTTTCCGCCGGAACTCGACCGGAACCATATATTTTTCCAACGAATTTCACCGGATCGACTTGACAGACTCTTGAATAAGGGACGGCGATCGTTAATTAGCGTTTCTATGGGTTGGCAGAAGTTGCCACTGAATAGATTTTAAGGTGCGGTTAATTTACCATGAATCTAATTTCGAGTTCTAATCCGATTTGAATTTAATTCACTCTTAATTTATATCTAATCCCCAGCTGTTCTAATTTCAATTTAATCCATAGACGCCGTGCTTATCGTCAACTCTAACTCCATATTAGTTTTCAGAGACACCGTAAGTCAAGCTTTACTTAAGTCAAGTCTTCTCTTTAAACTTGCTATCAAGACCAAGGGGTTGTCTATGGAAGGTTGCAGCCGTAGATCCCACTTTCCAGAGTTCTCCCTTCTAAGACTTCCATTTACCATGTGAAAAAATATTACATGAAATTCTTTTATCGTGACTCTTTTTCTTTACGATTGTGATTAACGTTTTTGATAGAGCTAAGTCACCGTTGACCATACGTCGTCGAACAATTAAATGAAACCCAACGATCGTTACCAATGAACGAAACTCACCCTCTGATTTCTTTCACGAGGTACCATCTCTCCGTGTATTATGCAAAAGTTTTCAATGGTATACGACGTACATGGCCGCGTACAATCGTTAGTAGGGAAACTCAATACCAGCCGGTTCGTATTATCAACTCTATCCTCCGCGTATGTACGTACGTGTGTGTATATACACGTGTAACTTGACAAAGAATGCAACCACGAAAGCGAAATGCACAGGGCGCATAGAACGGCGGGCCGCAGACAAATGTCGATGGCGAGCAACAAGTGTCGAGGGGTCTTTACTTCTGACAATGAGCAGAAAATCTGGCCGACTGGAATATACGAGGCGACCGACACGAGAAGTAACGAGAATTCGTCGTTAAATCTTACCACGTCCAGAATGAACCCAATTGTTCTCAAAGCACGAGAATATATTATTCTTCGCAAGACAGTAATGTCGTAAATGGCAAATTATCCTTGGGTCAATGAATTACAATGGACTCTCGTTATATTGCCACCAACGAGAGTGTAAAAGTGAAAAATTCTACCGTAAGGAGTCGTTCTTTTTCTCTCTCTCTCTCTTCTCGTTTTCATTTGAAAAAGTAGAACACAGTAATATCACGCGAGAGTATCATGAATCAACATACCGGTATCGTAATTGATAATTTGATAAGTGTCGCGCTTTCCGGCGAACCGTTTTGTCGTTTTTCCGCTCGGTTACGCCGCGAATTTCGACCCCGTTTCTTATTACGTGCCTCCGTCACGTTTCCTAAGGAACCTCGATTGCTATCGCGATCAGATATCACGCTCCTCCAGCTGGCCGACATGAAACCATGGAACGTTGAGTTTCTTTGCTGGACGATGAAGATTAGGAGGGATATCAATGAGGTAATTGAGGCGTAGGGGGTCACCGATCACCAGAATCACGAATTTAATCTAATTGAGTGATTTAAACGGCAAAGAAGCTGCTTTTTCTTCTTTTTTTTAAAGTACCCTTGATTAGCGTTTAATACAATACAAAAATTTGTAAAATTTCATTAGTTTTTGAATCACGTCGCGTTCAATTATTCAGGGAAAGACCGTTCAAAACGCATCGTAATCAATAAAATGAAAGATCCGACGACTTTAACGAAACTTGAAGAGTCTGGTAGGAAATAAAACCAGAAGGGAAGAATTATTGAATGGATGTCCCGACGGAAGTAACTTTACGAGAGCCGATGAATCTTGTGTCAAATGAAATGTGAAAAACTTGTCGAATAAAGGTCTCGCGTAATTTTACGAGAGCCAACGAGTTCTCCATCAAATGAAATGTGAAATAATCTCTGAATGAAACTGTTCTGCTCGAACGAGGCTTGATTTACGTGCAATACTGAAAGCACCCAGTTCTGGATAACCCAAGATGAGTAAAATATGAAAGAGAAAGCAGGTACATTTTTACAGAGTCGTTTTGGAGTACACGAAACCCATCAAATATCAGCACAAGAATATTAGGATCCATACTGATAATTTTACACCTTCTGTAACACTTGTATTATAAATAGGAAGTAGTCAACGAAGTTTTCTACGACATCTTCCTCTCGCGAAGTCATGATTAGGAGGACACCTGATGGGTGCCACGATGATCTGCCTCTCTTCCCCGATACCAGCTTCAACATCGGTATCCATATCAAGTTCCTCGGTGGTCGTGGTACTCATGGTGGTCGTTTGCATCCACGGTGGCTCGAGGATAGAGTTCAGTTTCTCCCTGACCGTGTCACCGATTTTTTCTCCCATGTCCTTCAACCTCTCCTCGAACGTCCTCAAGAGCAAAGGCTTCTCCGGTAGGAAGAATCCTTCGGACAGGGGCATCGACGCGACCAGCAGAAGGCAGGCTAGATAAAAGCAGTGAACTTGAAGTCCCATTATCGTCGTCTCCCCACGGACCTTGAAACAGGAAGAAATTATTGTCAAAGACGCACAGTCGATGAGAAAGAGGAGGGAACAAACGATATTTCACGACCATGCTCAACGACCGACCGAGATATCCCGTATGGTATAGCTTGTATCAGGAGTTAGTAGCTGTATTCGAGGCAAGTGTGAGAGATAAAGTTCTTCCACGGTGCCCTTTCGTTGACGAACGACGCCAGGAAACTTTCCGGGAGACAAAAAAAAAACTTTTGCCGGGATAGAAGACTCTAATGGGCTCTGAGAAAGTTACGACTCTGGTATATTTCTACCTTTAGCGCTAATATTTTTACCTATTATAGTCAGTGACTTCAAGAACTACGTTTTAATGAAACATTATGAGAAGAGCCTACCTTTTCACTGAAATTTCGAAACGAAGATCCCTCCTGCGAACAAACCTCTTCTATGTTTCGTTAAATCAATATCACAACCTGTAGAAAGAAGTCAGAGAAACACAATTGACAAATCCGCTGGTGGAACAAAGCGTACGGAGGTTGTTGAACAATTATTCAACGATTTATTAGCCGTGGTCGGATGCTTTTTCTCGTTGCCAGGTCGACGACACCAGCGTATCTCCCGCGAACCCCCGGAAGACTATAAGACCCCGTACCCCATAACTTTTCACCACCGTACAATGAAATAAAGCCGTGGAACAGGGTGCAGTCCAGCGTTCACGGCTCGAGTAACTCGTACAAACAGCACGATCGTTCTGAAAGCAACGACAATGACAGTGTAGAGAGAGAAGAAGATGCTAGGCCAGCAATTTCTGTCGTCACGGCGTATCATTTCTTTTTTTATCGGGGTCAAGAGTGCACTCCGTTATCTGTGCCGGGAATTTGTATCGGGATAAATTGTTTTTACCAGATATATCTGCCGGCCCCGTTTCTAGATCGTTGTTATCTATCGTGGCCTAGATCGTTCTCCGCTTCTTCCTCGACGCGTTAATCCTTTTGTTCCAGCTACCTGTTCGTTTTTACCTCTTTAGAGCTAATCTTTCCTCGCTACCATCTTCCTCCAGTTTCTCGTTGAATATTCTAATACTTGAGAATTCAGAAACTTCTACAGGAAGCGTCTTTTCAGATTCGCCATCGCACAATTTAATCCAAATTATCGCGTTTAATTGGACTCGAGGTGAAATAAGAGCTGCGAGTTTTGTCGCTGAGGAATTCAAAGGCTCGCCTTTCCTAAAGTTTACCACGTTCTTTAAATACACGAAGGTGGTCCGCTTCAAGAGGTTCACTGAAGTACTGGGCTTTTCTGCGGTCGTTAAGACCTCCCCCTCGCGTGCTAGGATCGACGCCGATGTCGATCCTGGGCCGTTTACGACCTCGACAAGTGTAGACTCCCGAGTGTATGAAGATCAGAGCGTGAATTCCAAAGACGATGTTTATTTTGGACGCTAAGCTACCGACGAAACCGGAAGACTCGGCATCGCGCTCGAGAGAGAGATAATCCCTTTGCATCAACACTCGAATCATCGGCCAGCAGCGACGTTAATAAGCCGTGACAAGCGATTCATGCGTTGCAACTTACGACTAATTTCTAGAATTTTAATAATTATCATTGATCATGCATCAGGCGATCCCGTGTTTTTTTCTATCTCCTCGCGATGCAAGCAGTCCTTATCAATTATGACGTTCGCGATGCATAAACACTCTTCACAATTGGCTAAAATTTCTGAAAAAGAAAAAAATTAAAAAATGTTGATAAAGAGTTTAGATGATGGTTGAAAATCTCCGGTTGGTTGGGTGAAAGTGTAAAGACACGTTTCACAAGCGAGATAGAGGATGGGAGAAAAATTGACCAGGGGAATTTGTAGTTGGAAGAATACAAGAGATATCTTCGGTATAGATCTGGCCGCGGGTGACAATGGCGGCCACAGCTATTGGCCCGTTTCACAAGCACGGCCCATATCAATACCCCTTTGTTGCACATGACTGAGTCCGGGATAAAATCCCTCTTGCCCGTTTTCTCTGGTCATGCCGGCAGAAAGCCGAGAAATAATGCGCAAACTTCTACTCAGACGAAATCCTTTGGAAAAATATTTCTTACGCTTCTATGGAACACCTCGAGCGTGGTCGAAACGCTTTTTGTCTGAGAAACGTTATATATATATATATTGTTTCAGCCAACCAAGAGTATTCAACAACCTTTTCAACCAACCATTTAAATATCTGTTTAAACGAACGAACAATTAAAAATATAATTCTAAAAAAAGAATTAACTTCGTTTTACAATTTCTTTATATTTTCACTTGATAATCAAGCGCATACAGATGTTCATTGATCTGTTGAATCAATATGGTATCAGAGTAATTCGTAGTGCAATGAATCTAATAATCGGGATGAATGGTCAATCTGTTAAATCTGTTATCAGTATCAACGATCTGAATTATCATAACGAAATCCGTGCAAAAGTGGATGTTGTTACGTCCGTGACACGGTATTCAAATGATGAACAGATTGTAGGTCAGCGTTGAATATTGTATGAGTTGTTTGGATGGTAAAGTTGAATTTATTACGTAAACTTCACACACCACGGGCCTACGACACGATGCTTGAACCGTGGGGTGATAATACGGTTCGTTATATCTTGAAAAATTTATAACCATCTTGATTGCAAAAATATTCCACCAGAATAATGATTAAACAACGCGGCTACTTTATTAGAGCAACACTTTTGTTCGTCGTTGTTCCTTTACCCATTACTTTTCATCGAACTTTCCTCTTTTTATTTTCCGACTCTTCAAGTTCTTTCAACTTTTTCATCTTTCGAAACTTTTCCCTGTTTGACAAACATTCATCAATTGATGAACATCAATTAATCGTCAGTGATAGGCAATTAAAACATCAAATTTTCTTTATCGAGAAACGATCCTCCGGTGCGATTTGAAGTTCGATCAAAATTCCTGATACGAATTTTGTACACGTACGAGAGTGATGGATTTTCGTGTCAGCGTTTTCAAACTTTACATTGCAAAAATATTGTTGAATTTTGCATGATCGACTATCGGCGAGTTATTACAACAACGTTTGTATCGAATATTCTCTATAACGCAAAGTACACATGGTTGTATGCAATCTTCCATGCATACCCGTCCCTCCTCTTCCCTCCACCTTTCAGTAACTTCAAAGTTGTAGGAGTTTGTAAGGTAGCAAACAACGGTGAATCAATGATTAAACACCGTTTATTACCAGAGCACACTGTCGTGTTGCTTTGAAATATTTATGGAACTCAGGAGATTGGATGCAAAACCATTGACTCGTACTACTTTACTACAACTTCAAAGGTGCAGTACTTAGTGAAACAACAAACGACAGTGGGTTAATGACTGTAATGTTTAGTTTCAAAGCATTTCGTTAGATAGTATCAAAATATTTGGAGAGAAGAAGAAGGTGGCTGCATAACCGTTGACTTGTACTACTTGCATAGCACTTCAAAGCTGTCGGAGCTTGTGAAACAATAAACAACGATGAACTTATAATTATAATATATGTTCTCAAAGCGTACTATCATGTAATATTGTGATATTTAAAAAAAATTGAAATTGGATGCGAAAGCATTGACCTATACTACTTGCAGTATCACTGCTGAGCTTCATTTTCAATTTTATCATGAAATTATGGAAAATTCTGTTGAATATAGAAAAAAATCTTGATGAAATATCGGTTTATAATCCAGCTGTAAATTCTGAAGACGTTTCTCGACAGATTTATTGCTCCACCTTCGATGTCTCCATAATCTTCATACTTGTCTCAACGTCCCCTTCTTTCTTCCTCTCTCTCCTCATGGAATTGCTTTCGCATCCGGGTTTCATTTTCTATTCCCTTATATTTCCGTAGCTTGAAGACTTTTTATTTCCCCTTGTACACGACAAATCTTTCCTCTTTCCTTCTATATTTCCGTTTTTCGTGTATCTTCCCACACCTGAGCCTCGGGCATTAACGCTTCACCTCTCTGTTTTCGGTAATTTTTCAATTCCATTCTGGGTGAACTTACGTTCCCTATAATTTTACTAATTTTCACCGAGTACAAGTTTCGTTCGATGGACGATAGGGGGGCATAAAATGGCACGGATCAAAAGGAAAGGTTAGACGAAATCTATTTACGAGAAAATGGATTCGTTTATTACCAGAGATTACGTAAACCCTATTACGAGGAAGATCGAGAAAAGAGGTTATCCGGTGACTATAGATCTCTGCTCCTCGGACTGTAAATAACTTGATTGCGAATGCCAGCGTACGACAAAAGATACGTTCAAGTGATATTCGATTTAACCCTACGGAGGGTGGTACACTTTCCTCTTTGTACGAACGCTTTTCGATGCATTTTCGATGAAACACTGGCTGACTCAAATTAATTTCCTCCGAGTTATTGTTTCGGCTCCCGTGTTCCAGTTGGAGACTCGAAAACTTTCCACGCTCTGAAATGTGTCTGTGTACCGTAATAATATTAACTTTTGAACGATTGAACGGAAAAGAGGAAGTAATAATAATTTCAGCAGAATTAAGTATTTCAAAAATTAAATTTCGACAATGATATATCGTCGCCATCGAAATGTGAATGGCACTCGACAGAAAAGAATCCCTTCCGGGGAAAAAAAAAAACATTCTACGTTGGAACTTTGTTGAGGCACAGTAATTTTACCCCCGTTTTAATGATCCTGCCGCGATGTTACTACAGCCTCCAAGTAGTTTCCGATGCGAAGTCGTGGCCCTAATAAACGCCATTCAAAAGTCCCGCGATGAGAGAGAATAAAAAAAAAAAGAAGAAAACGCGAGGGGAAAAAAGTGGAGGAGAAGCAGCGCCTCTTCAACTTGCTCGAATAAGAAGATTTAATGAGCTTATTATACGCGAATTAATGTACACTAATAACACGTTCCTCGAGCCACTCGACACGATGAACACTCGGTAACGATTCCTCGAGCAACGACGCTGTTTTATTTGCACATCGACCTGTCAACTATCTCAAGTGAGGAGGAGGACGTGCTATCACCTTTGAAGTTTCCATCACCGTCTTAAACTAGATTATTCGGCTAACATCAACAGCATTTACTAGAACTAACTTTCAACCGGATACGTGGATATTTTCTTTACGAAATGGATATCATTCCGTGATTCGAATAAAATTTTGTGAATTCTTGACATTGTGGGCTATGATCCACTATCGCGAAATTAAAATCATCAAAGAAGACTGATTCGATTGGGTAACCCCGCTGTGTTCCACAAGTTTTATCCACCTTTTTCCACGAATATCAACGTCTTGTCGATCACGAGGCAAACTCGTCGAACCAGCTGTAAGCATCGTTTGAGATGCAAAACAACGTTTGACATTAACGAGCGTGTGTACACGTGTACCCGGCACCTGTACAAAACGAATGAAAATGTCCCGTGGATGAAGAGGTCTCAAGCTAGCGCACAATAGAGGGCTGGATATTGAAAATTTATCGGTGGCAGAATGAGTGGATGAACCTTAGCCAGGGCTATTTGTCGGAAATTGAAATATCGAATTTTAGCTGGTACAAAGACGAGCTGAAACGAAATACGTTGGAGCTGCCGCTTTAATACTCGATCACACACGAAACATTGAAAGATTTCTTCTTTTTTTTAATTCATTTTAAATTTCGAAGCTTACTGATTTTTCGAGGATGCTCGAATTCTTGAGAATCACTTCGAAACCCGATAAAGCCGGCTTTCGATGAGATACAAGTATAATTAATTTCAATTGTCATTGTCTGAAAA